TAACACCAGCTAATAGAGGAATAAAAAGATTGAATTTGGTTCACAATGTTCAGTATGTGGGGCAAACCAAAAATTGGTTTCAGGTGCACTATAACCCAATTCTGGCAGCCCTGGAAGACAACATTGAGGGGAAATCAATGGGTAAAACTTGGTCATACACTGTGTGGAGAGAGAAAACATATTGTCTTATGGGAAATTATAGTGATTTGCCTGGTTGCCAGAGACCTGGAATAAGAAAAATTGAAAGATTTGTCCCAACGAGTTCTTGAGGCAAGGCACATGAGTAGATCTATGGGATGGACACCAAGTAACTCCCATTCATGAACACCTACCATGGAGGATGGCCCAGACAATCATGTTAACAGAATGACTTAGGTCAGTTGACACCAGCTTCTGTCCTCTTATGTTCCAGTGCTGACACATGCTTACTCTTTGAGCATGGGGCTGGGGTGGAGGCTCTGCATGGGCCCAGCAGCTCCTACTCATTAGAGTTGCTTTATCTATTATCTGCTGAGCATCCAACCCTCCAACAACAGAGACCAAGTGCTGAGTTCCTAGTGGCACCATGCTTTGAGAACAGTCATTTGGTGGCAAATTGACAATGTTGAGCCCCCTGTACCATGAAAGTTACAGTGATTGACTTTATTGTTGTTTGTTTGTTTGTTTGAAATGGTGTCTCACTGTGTTGCACAGGCTGATCTCCAACTCCTGGGCTCAAACGGATTCTCTCATCTTGGCCTCCTAATCAGCTTGACTATAGGTGCTTGACACGGCATCCTTGTCCACAGTGGTTCATCTTGACTAAATCAGCATGTTCCAGGCATCGATTCACTTTTTCCATTCACAGGGCCTCAGTTTGCTCCATCCTTCAAGGGTCCTGGAGCACATGTTCACTGACACAAGGGTCTACATAAAGCTGAGGGACTGAAGCAGGGCCACATGACATCCTCCAGCTCCCTCACAGCTGCATACTCGTACTGCAGCCCAGTAGAGCAGTACAATGATTTGTGGAGTCAGCTCAGAGGCAGTGAGGGAGCAAAAACCTGCAGGTGTGCAGCAAAAACATTGCACACCAGTTACCATTGTTAGTACAGTGCCCCCAGGATGTAATATATGGGCTTGGAAACCAAAAGATGGAAGTCATCACTCCCAGTGATCACTTAGGAAATTTGTTTTCCATACACCTCTGGTTTCTACATGCTTACAGGTCTTAACTCACAGAGCAAAATCTTCCACAGGCACAGAAAAAGTGCCATTTGATTTCAAGCTTTGGCTGCTGCTCAGTCATTTCCAGTCTCCATGTGCTGAGAGACTGGCAAGTGAGGAGTGTAGCCTCCATCCTGCTAGGGTAATTGGCCTTGGTTGTGGGAGGAGGTACAATTACCAAGCTTAGGCAAGAGAACACCCAGGTGATTTGACTGGTCACCTTCCTGCCCAAATTTGATAGCAAATTTAGGGGCCATAGCCAGAGAAGGGCACAGTGACCAGGGGCTTAGCTGTCAGGGATGGGGGTTTGGGTCATTCCATCAGGAAGGCACCTAGACCAGCAGAGGTACTAAGCCAGAGTGAGGGTACCTTAGACTGAGAGTAGAGTAGGGAGATGGATGTCATTTGGAACCTGAGACCAGCTGCAGTGATAAGATGTTGTTCATCCCATGAACCTTCCTTTGCTGATGAAGGCCCAACAGGTCCTGCAGGCTCTGCTCCCAGAGGGAATCTGAAGCAAGGGCTCTAAGCAGCAGTGTGGGCTGAAGTGATCACTGCCAGCACCTGGGTGCCCAGGTCCGCTGCTAGCAGCCCCAATGGTAGCCCCACCAAGTGACTGTTCCTGCTGCAGAACTTCTGTATCCAAGGACACAGCACTTACCCAGGAGTGAAGGATCCAACAATGGTGGGTGCTAGGGTATACAGACCCAGCTCCTTGGACACATGAGGGGATATCTTGCAGAGCCAGCCCAGGCCCAGAGCAGACCTTGAATGACTGATTTTAGGCAGCTTCTTCCTTGGTGCAGTTCTGCCACCTCCACTCCCTAGTTGCATTTCTGAGTGCAAACCTTTATCACAAAGTTGGCTTGCCAGGAAACCCAACCCACACATGGGTACATGGGTAGCATCTTCATGTACGTAAATGGGGAGATTTGGTCATTGTTTTCAAAACTGGAGTCATCTTCAGATTACCAGTACAGCTGTATGCAGCTGTATGTCATTCTTTTTTTTAATATTTATTTTTTAGTTGTAGTTGGACACAATACCTTTATTTTACTCATTTATTTTTTATGTGGTGCTGAGGATCGAACCCAGGGTCCTGTGAATACGAGATGAGCGCTGTACTGCTGAGCCACAACTCCAGCCCCTGTATGTCATTCTTTTTAATGGCTCTGTATTTCATTGTGTGAATGTTATATAATTTGTTCATCCATTTCCTTCTTGATATATATTTGTTTTTTGTGCTTTGCTGTAATGAGAAATATTGTTGTAAACCTTTGGTTTTCTTACTGTTGAATATATTTCTATGAAATGGATAGCCGAGAGATTTTTTTGATTAAATGATTATGTCTTTGTTTTTTAATGAGGTATTATTTATGTTTATATAATATGTATATTTATATATTCACATACCTTAGGTCTGTACTTTCAAAATTTCACAGACCTGCACCCAGCTTAGGGAATAGCATTATTAATGCCCCCTTTGGATCACTCCTCCCAATTCCCAAGAATGATATATGCATTTTTAAAAAATATTTTTTAGTTGTAGATAGATACAATACCTTTATTTTATTTATTTATTTTTATGTGATGCTGAAGATCAAACATGGTGCTTCACACATGTCAGGCAAGCACTCTACCACTGAGCCACACTCCAGCCCCTGATATATGCCTTTTTAATTTTAATAAGTGTTGATCATTTGCCTTTTTAAAAGGTTCAACTATTTATATTTTTACCAGTGATGCACAAGACTCTCTTCCCCTCTATCTCCAAGAATGTTTATAGTCACATATCGCTTAATAGGGAGAGCTTTCTGAGATGTGCCATCTAAGATGATTTTGCCATTGTGTGACCATCATAAAATGTGCTTACACAGACTGAACCACTTTGTGTCAATAGGTGATATGACACTGCTGTTGAATGTGTAGTCCATTGTTGTCTAAAATGTCCCTATGTGGACATGTTTCTAATTTTCATTTCCCTGTCTACTATTATATTTGTTTGCTGTTTTACATATTGCCCATTCCTATCCTTTGCTTGTTTTTCTGTTGAGTTTGTCTTTTCTTGTCAATGTGTAGGAATTTGTTGTAGGCATAAATCCTTTCTCTTTTTTGTTCCAAATAGTTTTCCCAGTACATTATTTTCTTTCAGATGTGATTGTACCAGCCTTATTTATTAATCTGCCTCTTTTTATTGGATTGAAATGCTATTTTGTTGTATATTCTCATAAATGCTGGGATCAATTTCTGGATTGTCTATTCTGTTCCGGAGGTCTTTTTGTCTGTTCCTGTTCAAATATCATGTTGATTGGATTAGAGTGGCTTTAATAGGATGTTATGATAATCTAGCAAGGCAAGTCTTTGTTTTGTTTTGTTTTTAGGTGTCAGTGGACTTTATTTTATATATTTGTATGCAGTGCTGAGAATAGAACATGCTAGACAAGTGCTCTACCACTGAGCCTCAACCCCAGCCCATGTCTTCTTTTTTAAAAATTACATTTCTTGTCTATTTTCAGATAATTAGCTTTTCACATGTCCTTTGAAATTACTTTAATAAATTGAAAGATCCCTGTAGGTTCTCTAATTGGAGTTGCATTAAATTCACATTTGAAAGAATTAAATGTTTTTATACATATCCTAATCCTGTGTCTTTTTATTTTTAAAAAATATTTATTTTTTAGTTGTAGTTAGACACAATACCTTTGGTTTATTTATTATTTTAATGTGGTGCTGAGGATCGAACCCAGGGCCTCACATGCCCTAGGTGAGTGCTCTTCTGCTGAGCCACAACTCCAGCCCCATATGTCTTTCTATTTTTATAGGTCTTGTTTTATACCATTGCATAAGATTTAAGTTTTCATTATTGAGGGATTTATACCCTTTTTGTTAAATTTATCCCTAGTAATTTTTTTCTATTATAAATGAAATATTTTCCCCCAATTTCATTTCCTGGTTGTTATTGTTCCTGAAAGGCCAGTTATAGGTGAAGAGCAGACTCCCAAGTCATACTTACTGTTCAGCTAGGTTTATTAAAATTAGAATCTGAATTAGAGGTTTGTATTCATGATGTTTTACTGAAACTCTTATTGTCCCATTTCAGCATTATTCAGTGTAAGAACTTTCTTGGTGGGACTGGGGAATCCAGCAGTGGTAGAGCATTTGCCTAGCATGCTTAAGGCCCTGGATTCAATCCCTGGCATCACACAGGGGAAAATCTACTCAAGCTCTTAATACTGCCAGGTGCATTGGCACATGCCTATAATCCCAGCAAATCAGGAGTCCAAGGCAGGAAGATCACACCTTCAAGGACAACTTCAGCAACTTAGCAGCGCTCTAAGAAACTTAGAACCTGTCTCAGAATAAAAAATAAAAAGGATAAGGATGTAGCTCAGTGGTAAATCACCTATGGGTTCAATCCCTTGTACCCAAAACAAAACAAACAAAAACCCCCTAAAACTTTAATACTTATAATATTTTTATAAAATGTTGACTTTGAGTTTTTTTAGAATCAAATATTCCAAAGCAAATGCCACGTAATTATTTTAATAAACATTTCATAATTACATATATTTGCTACCAGTTAACTTGAAAATACTTTAACTTCACATAACTATTTATTGCAATGGAAGTGTGTATTTGGGTTGTAAATTTTGTTATATTGCTTTAAGAAAGTTAATGAGTACATAGTATGATTATAGAGGCTATTTTCAATTCTTAGTTAATTGTATTATTTATATTTTAATGTTTATTTAATGTCTTTTATTCCTTTTTTTTTTTCCTTTTTATTCTTAAAGTTGTAAAACCAATAAGCACATCCAGTGTTAAGGATGCAGTAATACTTAAAGATGGAAAGAATCAATCACTAGAGAAAAAGGTAAATCATTGCAAATAGAGATAATTCTAAACATTTGTTCAACAGTTTTTTTTTTTTTTTTTTTTTTTTAATTTATTTATTTATTTTAGTTCTCGGCGGATACAACATCTTTGTTTGAATGTGGTGCTGAGGATCGAACCCGGGCCGCACGCATGCCAGGCGAGCACGCTACCACTTGAGCCACATCCCCTCAACAGTTTTTTTATTAAGTGTCCTGTATATGTACTGTGGATTCAGTGGTTGGAAAAAAAAAAGAATTCTTGCTTTTTTTTTGTAGGTAATATTTTATTTCTGTAATAACATATTTATAGTTGAATATAAATTAAAGGCCTACTTGCACACCAAAGCCAAGTCCTTTGGATGGTTCAGTCAATAAGGTAAGACCTCCAGCTGGCTCACAACAGAAACGTCCAGGTTTTGGAATTTTACCCACTTTGAGCTCATCAATATCCTTTGTTGTCAGATCCTCATAGTAGTTGTCATTTATTTGAACCGTTGGTGTATTTACACAGGCCCCTAAACATTACACCTCTATAAAGGTGAAAAGTTTGTCAAATATCATTTCCCCAGCCTTTATTCCAATCTTCTTCTGAATGGCCTCCAGTATGCTGTCAGTTTCGAAGCAAGCAAGTGCAGAACTGAATGTGATACTTTCCAACTAGCTTTCAATTATACATTGTATAAAAAATTGCTACTTCATATATACTCATTGGAGGTACTTGTAAAATTTCTGCATCCTTGTTCAGTTCATGGCAGAGATGGGCAACTACCCATTCTGCCTTTGGGCCAAATATAGGACTGGAAGCATAGCTGCTGCTGTGTGCCCTTTCTCCGCTTATAGTTTTCTGGTGGGAAATCAAGTTTTGAGGTATCTATGGGTTATTCTCAGGAGTATCCCTGTGTACAAACAAGGCTGTCTTATGCAAAATTCCTTATATGTCTTTCCCAAGGGGTGGTGAGGCCTGCCGCCCAGGCCCGGAGAACCAAGAAGAAGAACATGGTGGAGTAAACTGTTCGACTTTCCCTAGTCACAACAAGCAAGAATCAAGTTCTTGCTCTTAGAGAGCATGTAATTTAATTTGGATGAGGAAAGGGGAAGACAGAGAAATACAATTGATCTCTACCATGATGTGCATTAAGTTCTGTGATAGGAGTAAGTTCACATTGCTCTCAGAATAATAGGAGAGACATCTAACCCTGCTTTTGTGCTGTTTCAATTTACTTTTCTGGGTGGTGGGGACAGGAATTTGGGATGTCTTTCTGAAGTATGAAAGTTATATCTGAATTGAGTTCTAGTAGAGTGGATGAGGGGCTGGTCAGCCTGAAGACCCCACCTTTAGAGAGTGAGGGAAGGATGCGGAGATAATTTTTCAGGGTAAGGTAAGAGAGCTTGAAATTTTGGACTAGTGGAAATAAATAGAAGCTCAGAAAGGCTCAGGTACAGAGTTTACAGTGGATGAGTTAAGTGGTTCAGTTATAGAGGAGAGAAGAGGTTATATCATTAAAGACATTGTGTATGAAACAGTGGTAGAGAGCCTAGTAGTAAGAGAATGGACTCTGGAGCAAACTGTCTGTTCAGTTCCTATCCTACCTTATTTATTTATTTATTTTTTTGGTACTGGGAATTCAATTCAGGGGTACTCTACCAGTGAGCCACATCCCTATCCCTAAAGGGATGTTTTATTTAGAAACATGGTCTCACTGGGTGGCTTAGCACCTTACCATTGCTGAAGCTCGCTCCTGTGTCAGCCTCCTGAGCTGCTGGATTACAGGCGTGTGCCACTGCACCTGGCCCCATCCTAACTTAATTCAATCATTAACCCCTATAACAAAATGAGGATGGAATCTCTGTCTTGATAGAATGAATAGTATTTGGATCTCAAATTTTGGAAAGCCATGAACTTCCCAACATGTTTTAAAATTGAATTTAAAATATTCATTGGCTGGAGTTGTTTGTGGCTCACTGGTAAAGCTCTTGCCTAGCATGTGTGAGGCACTGGGTTTGATCCTCAACACCACATAAAAAAAGAAATAAAATAAAAGTAACGTGTCCATCCGCAACTAAAAATAAATAAATAAATACACACAAACACACACACACACATACATATACACATATATATATAATTTAAAATATTTGTTACAAGTTTAAAAAGTTGCAAAGGTCATGATTTCTGGTATGTTGTTAATATTAACATTTTAAAAACTGTCATACAAACATTTAAAATATGTCCACTATGATTAAAACTACACTCTAGAAACTTGATATCCATAATCATCCCTTTAAAAAAATATACATGCAAGATCATCAGTGGTCTGAAAGTTTATATTTTTCCTTTTCTCATTGAATTCCTTTTATTGTATATTCCACAGAATTTTTAATTAACATTAAGTATGTTTTTTAAAACCATATATTTCTCTGCAATAAAAATAAGTATGAATTTTAAATTTTGCATGACCTATGAGCAAGTGTAAATTTTTTTTCAAAATTATTTTAAAGTATGCAGTTGTCCCAAGCAACATGAATACATATTATAAGATTGAAAGTAAACTTTAAAACAAAGGGTTATTATTAGTTAATCCTATGATGAAATGGATAGGGGTGACTTTTCCCCTCTGTTAGTTTATGCATCTATCAAAGTGTATTGCATATTTCTGGAATGAGGAAAAAGGATCACTGCTGAACTGTTTTTTTTTTTTTTTTTTTTAAGAAAATTTAGTAGGTAGAGTAACATTCTCAAAAGTTTTGGTGATCTTATTTTCTCTATAATGGGGCCTATTGGAAGCTGTAAATAGTTAACCCTCACTCTTATGCAGGTATGCAGTTTCCTCCCATCCATCTCTCCATCTCTCTTTCGTGATATGCATAACTGCCTTAACTGGGGCTACTGTTTGTGTTGAGCTCCTGCTCATTCCAGCCCCAGGGTACAGATGTGCATGCCTCTCTTGGTAGAGAAAAATAACTACTGTGGAAGACCATATATAGTTTCATTAAAAAGTATGGTCAGAGGGCTAAGGATATAGCCCAGTAGTAGAGCATGTGCTTAGTATGCACAAGGCTCTGAGTTTAATCCCCAGCACACACACACACACACACACACACACAAAATGTGGTCATAGATAATGTGAAGTTCATGTTCTCACATTATCTTAGACAGGTTTTACCAGGAATTAGTTTGGTTTATTGAGCTGCCTTAGGTATCAATGTTCTGATGAAATATTTTCTATTGATTACAGAATCCTAAGTCTTTAACAGGCCAGACGTCAAGAGGTTCCACCAAGCCTTCTCCTCATTCCTCCAGTACTGGGCTCACAGGTCAGCTGTCTGCTGATCAAAAGCAGAAAAACATCTCATTGGCTTCTTCCAGGTGTTCTGTTCCACATTGTGATCAAGAGGCTTCAGACCTACAGAAAATGGAGCATAAGAAAAAGCATTTCCTAAATGAAAATATTAATAATGAAAATAAGGAAAGTATGAATCTTAAAAGAAAACATATTATGTATAGTAACTCATCAGAGAAAACAAATAAATACTTGGCATTGGAAGAAAATGCTGGTGAGGTTAAAGCACAGCTAAATTCTGGGGACTCAAGAACCTTTAAAAAATACCTTTGTGATATCAGGTATTTGGATGATCAGTCAAAAAACCAACTGATGGAAATGCTCAAGCAGGCAGCTGCACTGGTAGTGACTCTAATGTATAAAGATGGTTCCACCCAGCTAATAGCTAACCAGGTTAGTAAACAATGGTAGGTTTTGTTGTTTTGGCTTCATAAAAGAAGAAGCCCCTTTATGTCTGATTTTGATAGAAAAGCTATAAATAAGATTTTAAGCCTTCCCTCCCCGTGAATGGTAAGTGAGTGATGATGTAGAATTTCCATTAGTTTGTTTTTGGTACTAGGGATTGACCCAGAGGCACTTTACCACTGAACTGTGTCAGAAATACCAGGGTGCCACAAGAAATGAAACATGCACTCTGAAGTGGATTGGCAAGGCAAACTTTACTTCTACCAGCAGTATGTGCTACTGAACCTGGCTAGCAAGTGCACCTGGGTAGAACTGTCCACCTACTTTTTATCCCTAACATAGTACTGCCCCTTGCTCTGATAGGAGGAGCTTGATGTCATAATCTATATATAGATTGGCTAATTTTAAAATTGGGCAGGGCAAAGGGAAGGCCTGTAGTTAAAATGGCTCAATTGGATCTTATGTCCCAATTAAGGTTAAATACTATATTCTGCAAATGCACCACTGGACTTTATATTTCTCAAAAGTCCCCCCCCCTTTTCTTTTTCATTTTTATTTTCATACCCTTTGGTATTACATCCATCCTAGATATATTAACTTTGTGAAGTGGAAATTGCCCATGATAATGAGTTCTCCCCTTTTTAGCAGATCAGGTAACCATCTTGGTGATGAAGAACACTTGGTAAGGTCCTTTCCAACTTGGTTGTAGCTTGTCTTCTTTCCAGGTCTTGATTAAAATCAAGTTGCCAGGCTGGAAGTGAATTGCAAACTCCAAAATGGGAGTCTGAGCAGCAGCTCATGATAATTATACCAGCAAAGAAAAAGTAAACAGAAAAAGCTCAGATAGGTCTCAAATTGACTCAGAACAAATTTATAACTCTGGCAGAGCTTTTTGTGATATTTATTAGGCACCTCTGTATAAAATCTTCCTTTATAACCTCCCAGTTTTACTTACTTTCAGGAGGACTAACACAAATGTACATGTAAAAGAACCATTGTCTTATCTTTTAAATGTCCATGTATGGTTGTGCTTTGGTTGTGTTCTCCTGCCAGGTGTTTAAGACCAAGTTGGTAAAAATTGACTTTTTTTTCTTTCTACTGTTAGAGTTAGCTGAAAATTTTAAGGGATCACTCTTGGGAACTTATGAGAAGCCTCTTGGATCCTTTAGCTTTTCTTCTATCAGTTGTGCTATCTGCTAGGATAGATCAGGGTCTCGCTGACCACATGTGGCTTCCCTTCGAAATATAAAGGTCTCTAGTGACCTTCCTCTTTGCAGAATGTGCACTGGTTGGCTCCCTGTTCTCTAGGTCCTCTTGATCCCCCTGATTGGGATGTCAGATGACTTACTGCAGTTGCAAGTCCCTTAGAGAAATCCCATTGTTCCCTGAATTTTGACTGACCTAAGAGGACAAGGGCCAGAATATTGGCTACTTTTTTCCCTTAGCCATTTTACTTTGGGCTCCAGATTTTGGTTTAAAACATTCAGCAGGTCAGTTTCACCAGTCTTTAAAGTAATAATAACGGATTATACTTTAAGGTGTATAATTTTATAGTAACCCCTTTTGTTTGATTAAGGTTAGTATCAGTACTAGAAGTTAGCTTTATATCCAATCTGTCCCATAGGTAATGGTTTATTGTCTCTAATTAACTCAGGTTTTTCTGTTAGAAGAAGCGCTTCTGCAAAACATTAACAGGCAACAGTTACACATTTTTATAAGAAAAATACAAAATGAAATTAACAAGAGCAAAAATATTCCATTTTTATAATAGCTATGAACCAAGAAACATGATTTTTATAATCCTAAACCTTTACTTATTTATTATATCCCCTGTTTAATTTGATATCATAGTAATCTTTAACAACAAAAATGTATTATTTGAACATAACTTTAAATGAGCTCACTAGCCTACTTTGAAGCCATCTTAACATGGAATAGGGTGAGAGGCTGAGACTTATCTCAGTAAGATAGGGCAAATAACACAATACAACATTATATCTGAAACATGAATTAAACCAAATTTTTTTGTGGAAAAAGTGGAAAAATACTTCCATGTTTTACAATGTCAACCTTTAAACAAATTAGGCTGTCCTTATTGTCTTTTTTTAAATATTTTTTTTTTTTAGTTATAGGTGGACACATATCTTTATTTTATTTGTATGTGGTGATGGGGATTGAACCCAGTGAATGCATGGTAGGTGAGCACTCTATCTCTGAGCCAAAATCCCAACCCTGTCCTTATTGTCTTTAAAAATACACTTAAATTCCCAGCCCAATGTAAAAAGTAACACAAAATATTTCTCTCTCTCTCTCTCTCTCTCTCTCACACACACACACACACACACACACATATCTTATTGAGAAGAGGTTACCTTTATCCAGTTACAGAACATTAAATGACATAAATAAATCCCCAGTTAAATTTGTTATTTCTATATAAATCTGAAGATTACCTCTACATGCCACTTTAGTTTAGAGAATACCAGCTTGGTAAAGTGTTCCCCTAAGCTTTTAGTTTTGTGCATTTCTCTAGTCACATATATTTAGTGTGTCTGGCAAAACTGACTCAATTCATGTTTTAAAAATTTGTCAGAAAGACAATGGATCCCCCTCTCTCTGAAAAAATGTATATACACATTATATTATATATTTTTTCTTCTTCCTGGGGCAAGTTATTACTTCCTCCTTAAACAAAATCTTGGTTGAGATAACACTGATCACCTTTCTCAGGGTCCCTTTGGCCCAGATGGCTTTACTGTTAGTAGACCTCCAGCAAAGCAGGCTTTGTTTCCTTTTCCTGGGCAGCACTTGCAACTGAAGTTGTTGCTCTTTGGGTGAGAATGTTATCTGTGCATCTAATTCACATAACAAGTTTTATTCCAGGAGAGGGATGGACAATCTGGATATATACAAAAAAACAAACAGTCTAAATCTTTTTCTCCCCAGGTTGCATTCAAGGGGTTGGAGCACAGGATATTGTTGAGCCTGACCTGTCTCCTTTATCACTATCATAATGCCATCAACTTTAAGTGAGTTCCCCACTGTCGATTATACTCAGATGCTCCTTTGGGGCCTTTTTATTACACGAGGCATATTGATATTCAGTGGAGGAGGCCATTTTCATCCTTTAGGCTTTCTTGAAGATCCTTTTGCATAGGTTGCCAACAAAACATAAGTTGACTTTTGTTTCTGTTCCTCCTAAGCATTATATATCATAAATGCACTATTAACTAGTTGTGAGGGGGTTATGTCAGTTTGTCCCCTTTGTCCAATGAAGGTCATAATGACCCTCAGAGACTATTAGGGACCTCTCTATATAGAAATCAGCATGGCCAAGACACAGATGCCTGCATACATGGGGACTCCAGGAGGCCCTTGTATTTTAGCTCTGTGGACAGCAGGGAGGCTTCCACCCAGAAGTATCCCATGGCCAAATGGGGCATCCTGCTAGATCTTAGAAGGGAAGACCATTTTTTATCCCCAGGTTATGACCTAATAGTGCTGGAATCCATTGATTTGTCCTTAGTGACTGGTAGCTTTCATCCTGAATAAGATAGGATAGTTAATCATCAGACACTCAGGGTAATGGCCTCCAATTAAGGCTTTTTCCAAAGGTAAAGGCTATCCCATGGAGTCAATTCCTTTGTCCCAGAGCAGTGGTAAATGGGAAGGGGGTGAAACCAAATGAAGTTATAGAAAAATTCCAGACTTAAAGACTAAACGGGCATAGTCAATTAGAAAGTTATGGGCCAAGCCAATTGTCTTGGTACCCTCCCAATGCCTGTAGATACAGAGTCCAATCATTAGCCCCAACTTTTTTTTTTTTTAATATCTGCTCAGTGCAGACTCTGATCAATGCCTTTATCTACAAGCCATAACCCTCTTTTAGACTCCTCCTTGCATCACTGGAGCTCCATTTTCTTTCATTCAACCAAATCTTACTCCTTTTTAATAAGATGAAATACCTTATTCTTTTAACATACAGCTAAAACTTTTTTAATACCTGTTAGAATTTTAACTCTTAGTAACCTTGTTTTTAGGTTAAGACCTAGAAATAAACAATCTTAAGCCTTTTTTTAATTCACCAATTTATAAAAAACACACTTAATAGACCCAAATATATGTTACCTTATGGAATTAAAGAACCCAAGAATACTTGAATTTATACTTAGTTGATGTTTTAGTATTTTAATTGTAAGTTAATCAGATGTCTCTTCTAACAAATACATTTATGCATGTTAATCCCACTTATGTTAAAACTAATTTACCTATTTCTAATTTAGGTTACCCATGAAAACCAAGATATTAAACGGGTTTAGTTAGTACTAAGTCAGTTATTTCTGCCAAAGAAAAACCTTCAGAAGCAGTGGACATTGCACTTTAAACATTTTATAGAAACTAACTAATACTGTTTGGCTGGCCACCTAGATAAACATGTGGGTTAGTAGTTTCAAAGGAATTTTTATTCTTACCAATTTAGATTGACCCTTTTGTTAAAGTTTTGTTTAATTCATGTTAACTGAAAGGTATTTGGATCCATTCATTAAATTTATGAATACTCATTTATCTATACACAAGTATATATGTAGACACAATATATGTGTGTGCATACCTGTGTACAGTACAGTACACAGGTATGCACACATATATACAAAACACACAGGAAACAAAGGTCTTGAAGCTTTTTATCAGGTACTAAATCCCTACATGTGACCCAGACATGAAAAGAGCCTGTGCAGCTAGGAACATTAGGAATAAAGTCTGTCAGCCATGGTGGATACGGAAATCAAAGGTTCAACTGGTCACTTGTCCTCCATGGGTGCAGGTTTACTCCCATCATCACCACTGTTTATTTTCCCTGTTTAGGATTCTTCAAAGGAAAAGAAGACTCGTACATATGGGATCTTTCCATTGTTCTTCCTGTCCCTAGGCCTAGAATTTTTATTCCCCATGTTTTGCAGGCCCATGTAATTAAGTTTTCCTCTGTGTACTCAATCCCTGCTTATTAAAGGTTTCTTGCATACTCCGAGCCTCCCATCCCTCCTTCTTGGACATGGTCTTGTGTTTCTGAATAGAGTCTCAGTCATACTTACACAATCTCTGGCATGTGTTGACCACGAAATAAGTACTTCTCAGTTGCTGCAGTGCTTGCTTGGGTCCTACTGTGTTGCCAATCCACTTTTGATTTTGGGTCCATTGTTGGCTTCAGGAATTACAGTCATTCTCCCCTCTAGGCTACCTCGAAAAGGCAGTGGGATATATCTCCTCTAATGAGGTGTATCCATAACCCCTTAGGCAATGTATGGAGCCCCACACTGGGTGTGAAAACGGTTAGAAATACCAGAGTGCCACAAAGAATCAAACATGTGCTAGGAAATGGGTCAGCAAGCTTGGCAAACTTTACTTCTGCCAGAAGCATGTGCTACCAAATGGGGCTAGCAAGTACCCCGGGGCAAGCAGTCCGCCTGCTTTTATCTCTAATGTAGCATTGCCCCTTGCTTTGATAGAAGGATATCTGGGTTACAGTCTATGTGACCAGTTAATTTTAAAATTGGGGAAGGCAAAGGGAAGGGCTATAGTTAAAATGACTACAATTGGATCTTATATCCCAATTAAGGTTAAATACTTTATTCTGAAAATAGACCACTGGACTTTCTATTTCTCACAGATTAATTTTGAGAGTCTCGTTTTCTTAATAATATTGAGTTTTCTGATCCAGGAACATGGGCTATCTCTACATTTATTTAAAACTTTAATTTCTTTATATATATATATATAATATATATATATATAATATATATATATATAATATATATATATTATATATATATATATATTTTTTAATTTATTCTTTTATGTGGTGCTAAGGATCAAACCCAGGCCCTTGCACGTGCTAGGCAAGGACTCTACCTCTGAGCCACAGCTTCAGTCCCTAAAACTTTAATTTCTTTTAGTGATATTTTGTAGTCTTTAGTGTAAGTATGCAAGTTTTGCTTTGTTTTTTCTTTTTTTTTTTTTTTTGGTGATACCAGTCCTTTTGAAAAAAAAGTTTATTATTATTTTTTTAAACTTTGAGGCAAGGTCTCACAGATTGACCTCAAATTTGCAATCCTCCTGCCTCAGCCTCCCAAGTTTATGGTATTGCATGTGTGCACCACCATACCCAGCTCCTTTTTTCTTTTTTGAGATGAGTTTGTGTTGCCCAAGTTTGACTTGAACTCCTGGGCTCAAGTGACCCTCCTGTGTCTGCCACCTAAGTAGCTGTGACTATAAACATGCACCAGTGTGCCTGGACTTTTTTTTTTTCCTTTCTCTCTCCCCCCTTTCTCTCTCTGTATTTTCTTTTGTAGTGCTGGGGATGGAACCGAGGGTTGCTCTACCACTTTATTTTTTATTTTGATACCGGGTCTGGCTAAGTTGCCCAGAGTGCTACCATGTCCAGCTAGCCTTTCATTTTTGTTTTTAGTTTTTACTTTTTTTGTAGTTATAGATGGACAGGATGCCTTTATTTTTATGCAGTGCTGAGGACTGAACCCAGTGCTTCACACATGCTAGGCAAGTGCTCTGCCACTAAGCCCCAGCCCCCGCCCCCGCCCTAGCCTTTGAAAGACATTTTGCTGGATAAAGAATGTCAATCACATTTTTTTCTTTCAGTAGTTTAACAATTTACTCCACTGTCTTCTAACTTGCTTTATTTCACACAAGAAATTCACTGTCATCCTTATCCTTGTTTCTGTTTAAGGTGTCCTTCCCTCACCTGCCTCATCAGCTTCTTTCACCATAAATTACTTTGTTACTAAACCAATCAGGGTCACTCCAGGTGAATTTAGGGAATAAATAAAGACACAGAACCAGAAAGTAACTTATCTTTGGGTTCAGCGATGGTTCCTCAGCTGCAGCTCCCACAAGGGGGCAAGACAGGCAAGAAAGAGAACAAGGAGCATTTGCTAAACCCTTTTATTGGGGAAAAGCCATTCAAATGAGGCAAGGGGTAGGATTATAAAGGAACAGGTGAGTGGAATTCAACCCCCACCAGCGACACCTACACCTGGAGCCACACGCCTTGCTATCCAAGCTGGGGTAACACCAAAGTTACTTGAGACCTGGCACTATCCTGACTGAAGGCAATAATTGGTCAGTGCCCCAGGGCATCAGGACTTGAAGGTCTACATCCAGGGCAGCTCCTGACAATACTTTCTTTATCATTGATTTTAAAGAATTTGATTATGATACACTTTCTTGGAGTAGTTTTTTTCATGTTTTTTTACTTGATGTTTATTGATCTTCCTGGTTATATAGATTCACATGGGGAGAATTAACATACTTGAGTTTTCTAATCCTTGAGTATGGTCATTTAGGTCTCTGATTTCTTTCATCATCTCAGATATTTTTCACCATAAAGAAATTTTGTAGTTTTCAGCATGTAGATCCTGTATATGTTTTGTTATTTTTACCTGTTTTTCATAATTATTATAAATGGTAGTTTCAGAAGATTTTTCATTTCATATATTTAATTACGAGTGTATAGAAATACATTTGAGGTTTTATTATTTTTTGATTTTATGTCCTGCAACTTTGCCAAATTCACATATTAGTTTCAGGATTTAAAAAGATTCCTTTGGGGGCTGGGGATATAGCTCAGTTGGTAGAATGCTTGCCTCATGCACACAAGGCCCTGGGTTCAATCCCCAGCACCATACACACATATACACAAAAATAGATTCCTCTGGATTTTGTACACAGATTTTCATGTCATCTATAAATAGGAACTGTGTAATACCTTCTGATCTGTATGTCTTCTGTTCTTTTCCCTACCATATTGCACTGGCTAAGACTTTCATGATAATGTGGAATAGGATGGAGGCCATATTTGGAGAACAAGATTATGTTTGGGCTTTTGGCCAAAAAACTGCTTATTTATAAGTCCCATTTTAGGTCTTTTTCTCTCTGCTTAATTATAAAATAATATATCTTGCTTGTAGTTGTGTTGTCTATGTTTAATTTTGAAATTTTATTTTATTGTGTATCTACAGGCTCAAACTTCCTCTGTTAAAGGAATTGTGATGTTACTAAAGAGTCAAGTGGACAACCTAGAGACTTTAGCCTGTGGTGCTCTTGAGGTGGGCTTTATGTCCCAGGGTCAGTGTATCTACATACACATAGAGCTTTCCTCTCTCTGGGGCCAAGAACAAGAAGCATATCATCTGTTTGCCAGGTAAAAAGTCTGCACTCATTATCTTTTCTTTTCTTTTTTAATAAAAAAACCCCTTTTTACCATTTTTTATTGAATTTTAAAAATTGATTTATTTTAAAAGTGGAATTCATTGTGATATGTTCATAATGTTTAAATCCCACTTACATGCCTGCTTTTTCCTAATGTAGTATCTTAAGCTCTGATTTTAATTAAATTTTTAGAAGTTTTGTATGAATACATGAAAATAAAATGGGCCTAAATGACAGAAGCCTCTTAAAACACTGTCCTCCTCCCCCATGTCTTGTGGAAAGGAGGGTCCATCTTTCTATGGAAGCTTGCTTGAGGAATTGGGGAGAAAAGTCCAAATGTGAAAACCCACTGCCTCTGCAAGGGCCCCAGATAATTTTCCGCAACATTCTTGTTCTCACTCACAGCATTAGAAAATGAGTTATCACTGACTGCAAACAGTAAGTTGTCCTCAATTCTACCAAGGATAGTACTATTTTCAAAGCTCCATGACTGAAAATATGGTTTGGACTGAAAATATCATAACTTTTCATCAAGATCTTTTTTTAACAATTCTTTTTCTCTGTTTAATTGTTTCCTTAATGGTACATGGACACTTATACATATTCATATTTGTTTTTTCTCATTTCTAGTTTTTTAAAAAATATCTTTATTTATTTTTTATGTGGTGCTGAGGATTGAACCCAGTGCCTTACTCACGTGAGGCAGGAGCTCTACCACTGAGCCCCAGCCTCATTTCTAGCATTAAAAGAAATATATTGTCTCGATGTCAATGGATCTTTATTTACTTATATGCAGTGCTGAGAATTGAACCCAGTGCCTCACACATGCTAGGCAAGTGCTCTACCACTGCACCATAGCCCCAACCCTCATTTCTAGCATTTTTGAAGCCAGTTATTTTTCATGGATTGGTTTTTTGTGAACTAGGATGTTTGATTTGTATACTTTCAGTTTTGTTTTGTATTCTTGTATTTTTAAAAATATTTAATTTATATGTGTATATTTTTCTCCTGCCTGTTTCCCTCGATTCTCTCTTTTCTTCTGCGATCAGCCAATTTCTATTGTTCTTTCACTCTTCCTTTATTTTTTATTTCTTCCCTCCTCCTTCATAATCATCACATCCTATATCACTTCTGTTCTCTCCCTGTTCACCACTTGAAATTGTAAACCCTTTTGCAAACTTGCCGTAGGCGATGACCGATCATATCATTTCTGTTTATTGTGATAATTAACATTGTAGATGTCATAGTAGGAGCTATTTGGTTTAATGCTGTATATTATTTGCATTGGCTGTTGTTATTATTTGTCTCTCCTTAAACAGTGAAGTGCTGGAAACCCTCAGGGACATTATAAGTCCACAGGGTAAAAACTCTACTGCCTCAGATCCATACTGTTAGATGGATAGACACACAAACAACATTAAAAAATGAGAAAACAAATTTCCCCAAACAAGCCAAGATATCTGAATAACAAAATCCATCAACAACACAGGGGAAGAAATATCAGAGAACGCGTTTAGAATGTACATAGTTAAACTGATCTGTGAAATAAAGGATGGTATAAGAAATGAAATAAGAGAGAAAATACAGGAAATGAATAAGAGAGAAAATACAGGAAATGAAAGATCACTTCAATAAAGAGATTCTGAAAAAAAAGCAGAATTCCTCAAAATGAAGGAAACAGTAAACCAAATTAAAAATTCAATAGAAAGCATCACCAACAGAGTAGACCACTTGGAAGGCAGAATCTCTGACAATGAAGACAAAATATATAATCTTGAAAATAGAGTTGACCATGGAGAAAAAAATGTTAAGAAACCATGACTAGAACTTCCAAGAACTATGGGATAACATGAAAAGACAAAATTGAAGATTTATTGAGATAGATGAAGGTGCAGAGACAAAAACTAAAGGAATGCACAATCTTTTCAATGAAATAATATCAGAAAATTTCCCATACCTAAAGAATGAAATGGAAAATCAAATACAAGAGGCTTACAGGACCCCAAATGTACAAAATTACAACAGATCCACACCAAGGCACATTATAATGAAAATGCCTAACATACAGAATAAGGATAGAATTTTAAAGGCCATGAGAATAATATCAGATTATGTATAGAGGGAAACCAATTTGGATCTCAGCTGATTTCTCAACCCAGACCTTTAAAACTAGGAGGTCTTGGAATAACATATACCAAGCTCTGAAAGAAGATATATGCTGATCAAGAATCCTACATCTGGCAAAATTAGGCTTCTGAATTGAAGATGAAATAAAAACCTTCCATGATAAACAAAAGTTAAAAGAATTTGCAACTAGAAAGCCTGCACTTCAGAATATTCTCAACAAAATATTCCATGAAGATTAAACGAAAAAAAAAAGTGAAAATGAGCAAAGGGAGGAAGTACACTAAAGGGATATTCAATCAAAGGAGAAACTAATTCAAATTAAAAACTAGAAATAAACCCAAATGACCAGAAATACAAATAATATCTCAATAACTTTGAACATTAATGACCTAAACTTATCAATCAAAAGATACAGGCTAGCAGATTGGATTAAAAAACAAGACCCACAATATGCTCTCTCCAAGAGACTCATCTCATAGGCAAAGACATCCACAGACTGAAGGTGAAAGGACGGGAAAAAAACATATCACTCACACAGACTGCATAAACAAGCAGGGGTTTTTATCCTCAGATAAAGTGGACTTTAAGCCAAAGTTAATTAGAAGGGACAAAGAAGTCCATTTCATAGTGCTTAAGGGAATTAAATATCAACAAGACATAATAATAGTAAATATTTATGTTCCAAACAATGGAGCATTTATGTACATCAAAAAAGCCCTTCTTGATTTCAAGAATCAAATAGACCACAACATAATAATACTGGGTACTTTAACATCCCTTGTCACTGCTGGATAGATCCACTAAACAAAAACTAAATAAAGAGGCTATAGAAATAAAAAAATACAATTGATAATTTAGACTTAACAGACATATATAGAATATTTCATCCATCAATGATTGAATACACTTTCTTCTCAGCAGCACACGGATCCTTCTCTAATATGACCATGTTATGTAAGCTATCATGTATGTTGGCATATAATTATAATATTACCTTAATATGTTTTAGCATTTATAGGGTTATTTTGATAAACTCCCCTTTCATTGATATTAATTTCTGTGTTCTTGCTTTTTTTCTTGATTAGACTTGTTTGATTTTTATCAACTTTTAACTGTATTATTTTTTCTTTATTTCATATATGTCTGTTCCTAGTCTTATTTTTTCCTTCCTACTACATAATTTGAAAATAATTTGTATTTCTAGCTTCTTTCTGATACAAGGACTTTAAGTTATAAATGTTTATTTGAGTACTGTTTCATTCCAGAGATTCTGATATTTTAAGCTTTTATTATTACTTAGTTCAAAGCATTTTTTATATACTTTTCTTGTGTCTTCCTTGACATCTAAGATATTTATAAGTGTGCCATTTAATTTTGAAATAGTTGACATGTAGGGGTGGGGTTCTATATATCTTAAGATTGATTTCTAATGTAATAAATCATTCAGGAAACACAGCCTGCATGATTTTAAATTTTTAAAAAAAGTAATAGAAATGTTTTTTATATTGATTCTATTGGTTACTTACATGTCAAAACTGATCAAATGGCAAATATGTGTATTTTATTGTACTTCAATTTTACCTCAATAAAGCTATGAAAAAAAATTAAAAGAAAAAGATCACAATCCTGAAGAGTAATTGATGGCTCTGAAGGAAGACAGGGTAGGCACAGTCTTCCTCATCTTACCCAGGCTAATGGAGCTCTTAGTGGTTTTTTTAAAAAAATGTCTCCCAAGAAATCCTTAGCTCTCTTTTTATATATTTTTCTTTTAAAAGAGCAAGTAGGTAAGTGTAGTCTATGGAGAATAGAGCCCTAATATGTAGACAGCCTTTTCTGAATTCCAGATTTATGTATCCTATGTCAATGTGGACATCTGTTAGTCATTTCAGACTAAGGTGTCCTGAGCACTCATCTTCCTTTGAAACTGTCCACTGCAGCCTGGTTGTCTTGGTCAGTGTTAGTAGTAGCCTTCTTTGAGCTCAGGCTTGTTGTTATCTTTGACTTCTGTTTTTTTCCATGAACCCTATCCAAGTTCTTAGCAAATCCTGTTGACTTTACCTTGAAGATGTGGCTAGACTCTCCCCTACCTTTACCATTGCTGCTGCCATACCTCAGGCCACTGAGCTGCAGAAAGAGCTTCCACATGTACTCCTACTCCACCTGCCCTTCTGCTTGTTTTCAGATCATCTCCCAGAGGGACATAGGAAAACAGAAATTACATCATGCCATTGCCCCTCAAAACCCTGTAACTACTCCTGCTGTCTCTGAAGCAAGGTGAAAGTTCCTAGGACCCTATCCCACTGCCAGTCTTCATATTGTACCCTTCTGCAGCCCTCACCTCTTCTCCCTCCTTGCTCTTCAGTGAAGTCCAGCCTCTACCCACGGCTTCAGTTTCCTCCTTATTACAGCATTCTTCCAGATATCTGCATGGGTTGCTGCCTCATTTCTTTAGGTTTTTACAAACAAACAAAATAAATTTTGAAAATGCAAAAGTAGAGAGTAGCATACACATCCACATAGATCAACACCTTCAGATTTTTGCACACTTCTTTCATCTCTCTTCTAGAGGTGGCTGAAGGGCTGGAATTAAAGAAAATATGACACATCTTTCACTCTCATGTGTCTCAGGGGACAGCTCTAAAAAATGGCCTTTTTTTCTGCATAGTCACAATACAATTTTCAAACTTATATTTAATGTCCAATCCAAATTTCAGTCACCTGATTGTCTCAAAAAATGTCCTTTTGTGGTTGATTTATTTGAATTAGGAACCCAGCAACACCAAAATATAACAAACATTTGGTGATCATATCTTTTCTCATCTCCTAATTTAATCCATCTTGTAGAATCCATCTTGTTGTTATCTTTGACTTCTGTTGTTTCCGTGAATCCTATCCAAGTTCTTATCAAATCCTGTTGACTCTACCTTGAAGATGTGGCTAGACTCTTGTAGAAGGTCTCATGTCCTGAATTTATCTGTTTATTTCATTATGGGATTCTTTTTTTTAATATTTATTTTTTAGTTGTAGGTGGACAATATATCTTTATATTTTGTTTTTATGTAGTGCTGAGGATCAAACCCAGTGCCTCATGTGTGCTAAGCGAGCGCTCTACCACTGAGCCACAACCACAAGCCATTCATTGTGGGATTATTTAACTTGTTCTTCTTTCCCTGTATTTACTGTAAACTGAAGTTTGGTTTTTAAGGCTTCATTATTCAGGTCCAAATTATTTCTAACTCTATCACTTTTTCCACACTCATTAACTAAAATTTTCTGTAAAAAGCTTTCCTTCATCAATTAGGCTTTTGGTTCACCCTATCCTCATGTCTTCACTGACTACCTTGATAAACAGTACCTCACCGAGCACCATGCACATCCCTTTTATGTTTCCCTGGAATACCCCACATCATTATGCATATCACATTTATTTAGTTTACTATATATCCACTCCTAAATTCTCTGAGAGCAGGAATTTTTGGTTTGGTGTACTTTTATATACCCACAGCTAAGAACAGTGCCACAGAACAGGTGCCTAATATTTATTTATTAAATAAGTGAGTGTTGAGGCTTCATTTTTATAAGTTCCAGAATAATTAGGAATATTACCTCAATTACCATAAAATTGGAAGTAATAATTCCAATTCTATATAACATCCTTGGGATTCAAAATTAATTTAAATAAATCATTTTTAATTAATCCATATAAATTACTTTTTGCCAAAAGCATATTTAATAACATTAAATACCGATACAAGGTCTTTTTACTCATGATCTTTCACCTTTACACTATCACTATTTGTTAGGTCTTATTAATTCTGCTTTATAGAAGAGGAAATTTTCAATCTTGGAATTTTCTCCTTTTTAGACCCAAATCTAGATTTCCTATTTTTATTTTTATGGCACACTGAGCTACCTCCCCAGCCTCTACCTCTTCTTTTGTTATAGCTTTTTATTTTGCAAATGTGACATAATTGACTTAAGCAACTGACTCATAGAATACTTTCTGCTTTAGCCATTATATCTTATGGGACACACTTTTATTATTGTCTCTTCAAAACAGACATCATTCAGCCTGAGTGTCTCCCTATTGGGAAGTCAGTGTGGCAGTTAAATCACCAATTCGAGGCCCTCTGCATTTCAGAATGAAGAGATTTACAGAGGCAGGGGCTCCAAGTACCCTTTCTTCTCCTTGTATTTTTCCACTCCTTCCTTCCCCTCTGTCCCCCACAGTTTACCCTCCCTGGTCCATCCAAGCCAAGACCAGAGTCCTTGCTACTGGCCTCCCTGTTCAAGGAAACCAAGGTGAAATCACACAATATGGAAAGCCTGAAACTGTCTGCAGATTAAGACCAGCAAAGCCTAACTGCACACTCACTTAGTTGTGGAGCTCATTGTGTCCTAGTTTGTTTCTTTCTTGGTCCTATACAAAGCACCTCGTTAGTGTATTCATAAGCCTTTACTATGACAGGGGATTTATGGTTTGGTGTCTTGGAGTTTGGAGTCTGGTCTTAGATCCAAGTGTTGCCACTTCTCAATTATAACTTCTCTGAGCTTAAGTTTCCTCACCTGTAAAGTGGATAGAGTGTCTCCCTGATAGGATCATTTTGAAGTTTCATCACGTCAAGCTTGTGTATTATAATGTGGTATCTGGCATATGGTAGGCAATCAATAAATGTAACTATTATGAATCCTATATTCAAGGAGCTCATGAGATAAGGGGACGGCATGTGGACAGGAGCACAGGAGGAACAGAGAGAGGACCTGCTTCCTCCTGAACACAGCTCTGGAACAGGTTGCAAAAGCTGTGGGAAGAGAACTGCAGTTAGGAACCAGCAAGTATGGTGACCCAGAGGAATGGGCACTCTTGATGATGACAGAATGGTGGGATGTGAGGAGAGGGCTCTGGGAGGGCAGAGCAGGCCAGGGAGTCACCTTGGGGCTGGTAAGAAGGGTATGGTCTATGTAATAATTCAGGAGTTACTCTGTAGGCCTGGATACTGGGGGCTCTTCCTTGGTATAAGGTCTTGGGCACTTGCTTATTCTCTGTGTCTCAGTTTCTCCATTTGTAAAATGCAAATGTTTTTTTATTTTTCTTTCCTTCTGTACCAGGGATTGAACCTAAGTGCACTGAGCTGCATCCAAGACCTTTTTATTTTTTTTATTTTGAGACAGGGTTTTGCTAAGTTGCTTTGGGCCTCACTGATTGCTGAGGCTGCCTTTGAATTTACAGTCCTGCCTCAGACTCCTGGGTGCTGGGATTATAGGCACATACCACCACGCCCAGCAAATGCAGATGTTTACCTCACAAGATTCTTTAGCTAATCAATGTGTATCTGCACTATAAATGATAGCTATTGGTAAAGTAATAACAATATTTTCCCAACATCAAAAGTTTAGAATTAATGCCTAAATCAGTGAATTCTTTATATCTTCTAGAAACGTGCTGTTCCAAACCCTGAAATGTAAATGCCCTGTTATTTGTTTCAACGCTAAGGACTTTGTTAGAATAGTGCTGCAGTTTTTTGGTGATGATGGCAGTTGGAAGCATGGTAAGTTATGGTTCTGGTAGTCTCTAAAAATCGACCTCCAACAATGGCTTTCCCCAGGGTGGGAGGGTGGTGGAGCCCACCATGCCATACAGCACAAGGCACATTCACACAGACGGAGATGTGCCACCTCACCTGCCTAAGTGTGAGGACGCACTTTCCTGTCATGTATGTAGGTTCTACTTGAATTTTTACCAGTGCAGATTTCTTTGGTAATTTAAAATAGGCAGTTAACATGCAGCATCATATGAATGGGCATTGTTACCACAAATGGCTTATAACTTTCTAAGAATTAAACTACGATTCAGAGTAAGTAACATCAAAACAGTGTAGGACACATTTAGAATAGTAGATTGTTTTATAACCTTCCTAAACTAGGTACATAAGTAAGTGATAAAACAGATGCAAAAATAGTCATTGTAGAATCTAGCTGGTGGATACATGAGTGTACACTGCACTTTTTTTTTCAAATTGTCCATGTGTTTGGAAATATTCATAATAAAATATCGGAAAAAACTTTTTATTGTAGAAAACTTCTAACATGCACATGAGTACCTATCACACTGTTTCAACAGTCATCAACTCAGTCTTTTTCCTTCTTGACATCGTATACTCTTCCTGATATTTTATACCAAACCACAAACATGTGTAATTCATCTCTTAATATTTTTTTCAGTTGTTAAGACTTAAATGTGGAGATTCCAAGTTTAAAGTGATGCCATGACCCACTCTGGTTGTCAGTGATCTGTTCATATACAGGCTCTCCAACAGTGTTTGAACTTGCACACTTGCCCTGTGTTATGGTTTGGACGTGAGGTGTCCCCCAAGGCTCCTGTTAAGGCAGGAATGTTCAGAGCTGATGCAACTAGACTGTGAGAGCTGTAACTAATCAGCCATGCAGTGAGAATGGGCTGACTGGGTGCTAACTATAGGCAGGTGGGGTGTGGATGGAGGGGTGGGCACTGGGGTTGGTCCTGGGAGATGCATCTTCCTTGTGGCCTCCTCCTTCCTCACTGCTTCCTAACCCACTGTGAGCTGAGCAGCTTTCCTTCCCCCATGAAGTGATGCCTCACCTGGGCCCAGAGCAATGGAGTTGGCCGTCTGTGACTGAGACCTCTGAAACCATGAGCCAGCCCCAATAAACCTTCCCTCCTCTACGTGGTTCTCCTTGGGTATTTTGGTCACAGTGAGGTAAAGCTGACTGAAACACCCTGTAACTACTCATACTCGCTTGTTTTTCTTTTATGGTGATATCAGGAACTATTGGTTATCATTGTCTAGGTTCCTTAATTGCAACTTGGTGAGATCCAAGTGGATAACTTCTGTAAGGAGAAATCTTCCTTATCATCTATTTGGTTACCCTAAGTGTATTTCATATGGAAAAGCCAGGACAAAAACTTACTCTTTCCCTTTGTTTACCTTCAAAATGGTGAATTGGTCCATAGAATCAGTAAAAAGTGATACTTAAGGCTTTTTAATTGTATCATGGTTATCATATAGATTTTTAATTGCTTGTTACATATACTTTTATTTGATTTTTATATTAATTATCATTTTAATTGTACCTATTTATGGAGTGCCATATTATAATGTGATATAGGTATAAAATGTGACTGATCAAATCAGACTAGTTAGCATTTCTATCTACTTTAACATTTTCTTAAATTTTTAGTAACATGTTACAATTGTACATATTTTGAACTAGAGTGGTATTTCAATACCCATATACAATATATACTAATTGAATTAGGGTAATTAAGGTTTCCATCTCATTATTACATTGCCTTTGGAGTCTTCAAGCTCCCCTCTACTAGCTCTTCATAAAGTATGATATTGTGAATTGTAGTTACCCTACTATGCTGTAGAAACCTGGAGATTATTATTTCTTCCTGCATTTTGATATCTGTTTTCCACCCTTCCTCTGTCCATCCTCCTTCCCATCCTTTCAGCCTTTAGTAGTTATCTATTCCTGTTCTACATTAAGATCAACATTTTTTTTAGCATCCACATATGAGAGAGGACATACAATGCTTGCTTTTTTTGTATCTGATTTACTTCACTTAACATAGTGTCCTTCATTTCAATCCATTATGTGGCAAAGGATAGGATACCATTATTTTTCATAGCTGAATAATATTCTGTTGTGTACATATACTACCTTTTCTTTATCTCTTCATCTGTTGATGGGCACCTACATTGATGTGTTAGTCATTGTGAATAGTGTTGCAGCAAACACGGATGTGCAAGTGTCTCAAGTGTCTTTGGTATGCTGGTATAATTTCCTCTAGATATAATTTTCTCTAGATATGCACCCAAAAGCAGGATATCTAAATCAGATGGTAGGTCTGTTTTTAGTTTTCTGAGGAACCTCCACCCTGTTCTCCATAATGGCTGTACCAGTTTACATTCCCACCAACAGTATGTGAGAATTCCCTTTTTCCGCATGCTTAACCAGCATTTATTTGAACATGTGTGATGTGTTTTGTTCTGTTGCATACAATCCTTGATGAGTTAGAAAGTGACTCTTTGTGACACAAACCTCATGGTTTATTGGATGGCAAGGATGTTCCGGGTTTTTTCTGTGCATTTCCTGCCCTAGATTTGGGTTTACAGTCTCTTCAAGGAGCATTGTAACTTCAGTGGAGACAGCTTTGAAGTCCAGAATTTTTTCATGGCTATGTTCATTACTATTAGGTTGTTCTCTTTTTATAGGTTGGGATTCTAAGTATAAAATATATCATGAATTCATACTAATATGAATAAATCAAATTCAAGATGACAAGGTTTTTACTTAAACTCATTGACCTTAAATTTATGTCTCCCTTTGAGTATCCTAAAGACTCCTTCATACTTGGAGGTTCAAGTTTGGCTGGGTGCAAATGGTTTGCATCTTCTTTCCTTGTCACCTTATTTCTTTCTAAATATGATGATTTTTTATATTTTGCATATTTTTCTGGAAATGTGATGAAAAACTGATTTTTTTCCTAATTAGTGACTTGTTCTGTTTAGATTTTTGTTTTCTTTAAAATCTTGTTGTTTTACTGGAATATTTTGATATTGGTTGTTATTGGTCAGTTTTCTAAAGTATATACGTACCTTTAAAAAAACCCTTTTAAAATAGCTTTTTGGTTTAACTTTTTTTTTAAAGCAGCTTTCTTGAGATATAATTCACCACAAAACCCACTATTCTAAAGTGTACGATTCAGTGGTTTGAGGGCAATCACAGTTGTGTATCTATTACCACTATATAATTTCAGAATGTTTTCATCTCTTCATAAAGAAACCCTATACCCATTCATTAGCAATCACTCCCTTCTTTTAACTCTGGCAATCACTGATCTGATTTTTGTTCTTTGTGGATCTACATATTGTAAGTGTTTTATATGACTGCAGTTGTTCAGTTTGTGGCCTTTTGTAACTGGCTTCTTTCACTTAGTAAAATTATTGTCATTGTTTTGACATGAAATCTCTGCTGTATTACCAAGGCTGGACTCCAACTCCTAGGCTCAGTTGATTCTTCTGACTCAGCCTCCCAAGTAGCTGGTATTTTAGGTACATGCCACCATCCCTGGCTAGCAAATTTTTAAAAAAAATTTGTTTTAATTAGTTACACATGACAGTACAATGACCTTGACATATCATACATTTGAATCAGGTGGGATATAATATCTCATTTTTCTGAGTATATAGGTTGCAGAATCACATTGGTCATGCAGTCACATATATACACACAGTAATAATAATGTCTGTTTCATTCTACTATCCTTCCTATCTCCCCAACACCCACCCCCCATCGATTCTCTCTACCTAATCTAGGGTAACGCTATTCTTTTTTTCCCCCTCACATCTTTATACATGTATTTTGTATAACAGTGAGGGTCTCCTTCCACCATCCATGCAATTCCCTTTCTCCCTCCCTTTCCCTCCCCCCCCTCTTCCCTATGTAGAGGTAATCTTCTTCCTATGCTCTTCCTCTCTTCCCTGTTTTGAGTCACCCCCCCTTATATCAGAGAAGACATTCTGCATTTTTTTTTTTTTTTTTGGGATTGGCTAACTTTACTTAGCATAATCTGCTTTAATGCCATCCATTTCCCTGCAAATACCATGATCTTATTATTTTTTAGTGCTGAGTAATATTCCATTGTGTATATATGCCACATTTTTTTTTTTTTTTGCAAAAATGTTTTTAAGGTTAATCCATGTGTAAATGCTTCACTTATTTTTATGGCTGAATAACATTCACATATTTTATTTATCCATTCATCGGTTGATGAATAGTTGGATTGTTTCCATATTGGGGCTATTATGATTAATGCTGGATGAATATTAGAATGCAGGTTTTTGTGTGGACATGTATTTCCAATTTTCTTTGATATTCATGTAGAAGTAGACTTGCTGGGTCATATGGTGAGTGTATACGTAACTTTTTGAGAACTCCCAGTCTGGTGCCCCAGGTGGCCACACCACTTTATAATCCTACCAGCAGGTTACAGAGTTCTAAATTCTCCACATCCTTGCCGGTACTGTTATGCCAGATTCGTGGGACCCCAATAGACCTCCAGGAGCTGAATCCGATGCAGTCACATAAGAGTCTTTATTGCAAGCTCGAGCCTGGACTCACAACCGTTCCTGACGTAGCGGTCCCAGGGAGTGAGTCCCCGTCCTTTGTTCAGTGAGATTTTATAGGTTTTGGGGGGATACTCTACGCGTCACAACATCACACAGCAAATCATTCCATACCGTGGGAAAATCAAACAACAACTCTTAGCATTGATTAGCACATTTACTGGCAGGAACAAGTTGGGTAGGGGTGATTGGATAGTACAATAGGGGGATTCCTTTGAACTGATTGGTTTAGGCCATGAGGGGTGTACGTGCTAAACTACATGGTTTCCCAACATGTTATCAACCACCATAATCTACTGGGGGGTCATCTGACATCTCAGGTATTTTCCCTGTCTCATGCTGATTGGAGGTTGCTAGGGGGTTGCTATGGGTCCTCACCTAGTCTAACTGAGTCAGGGACACCTGGCGCCTCAGACCTCTCCTGTTATTTACTGACAAACAACTCAGCAGGGTGGGTATATGCTTAGGAGTGCTCTGTGGGTTTTTCCAAGGACAAGGGTCACACCCCCTTCCTTAGGACAGGCCTTGAGGTAGAAGCTGCTGTTATTTATTTATTTTTAAAAATGGAGTCACATTAGTTTCTCAGTACTTGTTATTATCTTTTACATTTTTTCATCCCCATGGGTGTGACGTGCTATTTCCTGTAGTTTTGGTTTATATTTCTGTGATGGCCAGTGCTGTTGGACATCTCTTCATGTGCTTATTAGTCATTTGTATGTATTCTTTATAGAGATGTCTATTCAAATATTTTGCCCATTTTTAATTTGGGTTGCCTTTGTATTGCTTAGTTATAAGGAATTACTTATACGTTCTAATACAAGCCCCTTGAAGTTACATGATTTGCAAATATTTTCTCCCAACCTGTGAGCTGTTTTTTCACTTTCTTGATGGTGTTCTTTGAAGCACGGTTCTTATTGTAAAGATGTCCAATGTATCCGTTTTCTTGTGTCACTTGTGTTTTTTATATCAGATCTAAGTAACAGTTGTTTAGTCTACAGTCTCAAATATTAATTCTTAATGTTTTTATTTTCCTGAGAGCTTTGTAGTTCCAGCTCTTACACTTAAGTCTATGATCCACTTTGAGTTAATTTTTGCTACAGAAGAAGTGGAGGGTCTGTGTTAGTTTCCTAGGGATGCAGTTACACATTACTACTAACGGGGTCTTTAAAACAAGTGCTCTCTCACAGACCCAAGGCCAGGTGCCTGAAATCAAGATGTTGTCAGGGATGGTCACTTTTTTTTTTTTTTTTTTTAAAGACAGGGTCTCACTAAGTTGCTGAGGATGACCTGGAACTTGTGATCTTCCTGACTCATCCTTTGCAGCCACTGGGATTACAGGTGTGGTCACCTTGCCTGGCAAGGGCTGGTTCTTTCTAGAATCTCTGAAGGAGAATCTATTCCATGACTCTCTCAGCTTCTGGTGGTGATTGGCAAGTGTGGGTGTGCCTGATCTGTAGTACATCACTTCACTCTCTGCATTCATCTTCTAGGCTTGTCCCTCTGTGTGTGTCTTTGTGGCTTCTCCTTGTCCCTTTCTTGTAAGGATGCCCATCATTGGATTCAGCTTTTACCCAATCCAAGGTAGTCTCCTCTCAAGATTCTTACCATAATTACATGCAAAGAACTCTATTGCAAATAAGATCACATTCTAAGGTCCCAGGTAGATATATATTTTGGGGGCCACAATTTAATCCTTTACAGAGCCCATCTTCATTCTTTTCTTTTTAAATATTTTTATTAGTTGTTGATGGACATTTATTTATTTATTTTTATGTGGTGCTGAGAATCGAACCCAGTGCCTCACACATGCAGGGCAAGCCCTCTACCACTGAGCCACAACCTCAGCTCCCCATCTTCATTCTTAATACCTCTTTAGATTTATTTCTGGATTCTCAATTCTGCTGCACTGGTGTCTAAGTCTATCCTGTGCCCTTACCACACTGTCCTGAATATATATTCTTTAGTGTGTTGCTTAAAGTTACTTGAATTACAAAGTTTATGCAGTATTAATTTGTTTTTTGAATCCCTATTCCATATGTTGAATCTTCTTGTCTAGCTCTCATATTTGTCACTTTGTCATATTTATTTATCACTACTTATCTAGAATTCATTTCTTTTTTTTAATTTTTAAAAATTTTTTAGTCATAGATGGACATAATACTTTTATTTTATTTGTTTATTTATATGTGGTGCTGAGGATCGAACCCAGTGCCCCACACATGGGAGTTAAGCACTCTGCCACTGAGCCACAACCCCAGTCTCTTCATTTCTTTTATTCTTTAAAATTTCCTCTTTTTCATTTTATTTTTTTAAAGGAATTTATCTATTATCTTAATTGCCTTTGTGCCTTGCCAGTTTAGTTTTTATTCTTGAAGTGTTTTTCATTTTATTTTTCTTTCCTGGGTTCTGTCATTCATTTGCATAATTTTTCTTAAGTCATCCAATTTCAGTGTTTCTAGTTCTGATTTTTTTATAGCTTCTATCATTTTCTGAATTTTTCATAGCTTATTTCAAATCTTCTTATTGGTGTCTCTTTTTCAACTATTGGCATTTCTTCCCACAATAGGAATTTGCCCTTATAGGGCTTGGTTTGCCAGTTGCAGGAGCTTACAGGGACCAGCTTCCAGAGTGTGCAGGTGCTGTCAGACCCTAAAGGTTTTTCAAAAGTGTCTCTGTGTAAGAACTGTTAATTATGGAATATTAGAGTTTTAAAAAGGCAAGTAGAATGGAATAGTGCCATGGGGCCAGCCAGTGTTATCAGACAGTGTTGTCTGAAGCCTGCATTGCTGACTTGGGGGCAAAGAGCCAGAATGATTGCTGACTTTGATCCAGCATTCCAACTCTGCCAATCATGAGAACATCATGACACTGTCTGCTTCGGTATATATAAACCTCTTAGACTAGTGTAATTTAAAGTTACTGGAAAATATATAATATGTAATGTGATCTGATCTAGACTGTAGTTTCATCTAAAGGTAAACTGTGTTCTTTTTGTTTAATGGGCTTTATTCTGTTCTATGGAATAGAATACATATTCCCCAAACTCCTTATTTTAGTAAGTAATATTCAAAATATTTAAGTATCTTAAAGAGTAATAATTTTAGGTTATAAATTCCCCTTCATGCCTAAAACACTCTGGTACCAAAACTTATCTATTTAGCAATACACACAAACACACACATGCACACACATATTTACACACACTCCCACACACCATATATATTGGGGTGAGAGTAGTAGGAATTGAATTTAGGGGTGCTTAGCCACTGAACCACATCCCCAATTCTTTTTAATATTTATTTTTTAGTTGGACACAGTATCATCTTTATTTTATTTATTTATTTGTATGTGGTGCTGAGGATCAAACCCAGGGCCTTGCACGTGCTAGGCAAGCTCTCTACTGCTGAGCCACAACCCCAGCCCCCAATTCTTTTTTTTTTTCTTTAATTTTTCATTTTGAGACAGGATCTTGCCAGATTGTTTAGGGTCTCACTAAGTTGCTGAGGCTGGCCTAGAACTTGCGATCCTCCTGTCTCCCAAGTTGCTGGGATTATGGGCATGTGTCACTATGCCTGGCTTAGAAAACATCTTGATATATGTCCCACAGATATTTACAGTAATCTTCTAAACTAAATTCTTCTTCAAACTAAATTTTCTTGAAAAAACTCATTGTGTTTTCCTACTGTTGTTATTCAATTAAAAGATATTTGGTGCAGTACTGTTTTTAAAATGGTAGCCATATTAAGGATTAATCTTTATCAATCACTGTAAAAGTCTTATCCTATTTTATTTTTTTCCTCTTTAGAATTGAGTCAAACCATATTAATCTATGTTGGTTTTTTGTTGGTTTTTATTTTGATTTTAGAGTACTTTAATCAGTTATAATTTTTCCTATTCATTTTTGTCCCAGGGCCAGTGTTCTTTCCACAGCATCATGATACATGCAGTACCCCCATTGTCTTATGGGGTTTTTTCACACCAGAGAATGCCAGTCTCTGCCTGGCCCAGTGATGAGGATCCCATGTGTGCTCAGGCAGTTCCTACTCTGCTTCCTTAACTTGGGAGCCTAGGTTCCTGGCATCATGATGCAGGGTCATAAATGACCTGTGGAGATGTGAGAGGCGGAGGGAGGGGAGGGTGTGGAAGAGCAGACGGTTGCCTGCTCAAAAGTGATCAAAAAGCCTGAGTTGCCTCAGGATGAGGGAAGGGAGAGGAGAGTTGGGAGAAGGAGGTAAGGGTGGGCCCGAGTTCTGACTTCAGTCTCTTATAACATTATTAAGAAATCCAAATTCCAAGTGAGCTTGGAGTCCCCACCCCTTCTTAGCTGTTTGGGATTCACTTCTTTAGTTTAACAACCATGGAGACCACCTTCTCATAGGGTTGAGATGGTCGAGGAACATCAGAGTCACATCATGCGTACTTGGCTCTGTGATTTGAGAGAATGGTAATAGTATTACCCTAAGCATCTTGCCAAGGTAGGAAAAGCAATCAATATTTATTTTTCTAGGAGGATTAACTGCCATTTTTCTCTTCAGTTGCTGATTTTGTAGGCCTTGATCCCAGAATTGCCGCATGGCTCATAGATCCCAGTGATGGCACACCTTCTTTTGAGGACTTAGTAGCAAAACACCTTGAAAAGTCCTTTTCAGTCAAAGTGAGCAGCACATGTGGCAATTCCTCAAGTAATATTAAGGTGAGTCATTGTGTGTGTGTGTGTGGTGTGGGGAATTGAACTCAGAGTCTTATGCATGCAAGGCAAGCTCTCTACCAACTGAGCTGTATCCCCAGCCCTGAGGTAAGTCATTTTAAGATGAAGTTTTACCCATCTTAATACAATCCTGATATTTTTCTAGAAATAATTTCCTATTTTACAGTCAATAAATAGTAAACCAACATTCATTTTACTTATTCTTCACTGCTTTTTTTTTTTTTTACGGTGCTAGAGTTTGAACCCAGGGGCCCTCCACCACTGAGCTACATCCTTAGTCGCGTGGGTTTTTTTGTTTTGAGACAGGGTCTCACTAAGTTTCTGAGGCTGGCCTCGAACTTGTGATCCTCCTGCCTCATCTTCCCAAGTCATTGGGATCACAGGAATGTGCCACCATGCCTGACCCTGTACTTATACTTTTGATCTTGGTATTTCTGGTGGAGGATAATGAATAAGGACGCGAGAGTTCCATCTTTTTGTCATATGTGTTCCTGGGAAATCCTATGTGCAGTGTGATAATTCTGAATGGATTCTCTGGTGTCAAATTGTTGCCTGTTCTGTGAGCAGAGAGCTGCTCATTTATAAATACTTAGTGCCACTGATGTAGCCTCTGTGACTGAGCTCCTGGGATGGCCACCTCAGTCTTCCTGGGCCCTCTCCTGCTAGAGATGCTCTGGCCTTTAGGAGCCACTGTCTGGAGAAGCAGAACCTTGGAGGAGATGATGGGGAGCAGCATGGCCACAGTTGGGACCATTCTGTTCAGGTTGCACAGTAGAAGTGCTACAGATGAGCACACAGAGGGTTAAAGGAGCCTCTGCAGTGGGACACTGCCCTTCATGCTCATGGCCATCATATGTAAGGGGAGAGTCTGTGTCCCATGAGGCAGGGCTGTAAATAACAGGTACGTGCCCTCCCTTAATTTAAAAAGAGGCTTATCAGATGGTCATGGGGTAGCCCACAGAATCAGGCCTTGCAAGAATAGGGACCCTGGGACAGAGGCTAGTGGACATGGTGCCAAAGCCAAGATCCATAGTTTTAGCTTTTGGAGAATATCTCCTTTCCCTCACTGGTCCAGATGTCCACACCCAGCAAGGGAGGCAGGGTCCTGTGACTATCCAGACTCCTACTGTGAGGCAGGGAAACTCTCCCAAATAGAAGCTGAGATACTATTGTTGAAGGAAGGAGTTATTTACCCCAGTATTATCAGTCCTAGTTTATAGATGTAGAAACTGAGGCACATAAAAGCTAATGTATACTCACCTTGCCCAAAGTTAAGATGAGGCCATTGTTGAGTTTGGGTTTCCAATTTTAAGTCTAGTTTCTTTATACATGCCCACATCTGAGTCAGTGATGAAAGTCAAGGAATGAAAGTCAGTTCTAGAGAGCGTGTATCCTCCTTGCCAAGAAGAATGGGTGCCCCTGTGTAAGCTGGTGCAACTGTGAAGCAGTACTGTCAAGCCAGGCCAGGATCTTCTCTGCCTGCTCCTGCTGAGACCTCATTCCCTCACTCCAGGGAGTCAAGAGGCAGTTTTGGATGCAGTCCATTTATGTCCTATTGGCTAGATGTGTCTCTTAGGAGAGCCATGCAGCATGTAAGGGCAGGAGACGGAAGCTGGGTTTTAATCTGTGAATCTGCCACTGTGCTTCTCTGAAGAGGTTTGAATTGCTGGGAATGGAAGGTAGTTTAGGTAGAGGGAGCGGCGTCGTGATGGCAAAGCCATCTTCTGGAGAAGAAGGGCAGATTGAGGAGAAAAGGGGAGAGCTCTTGAAGCCAGTCACATGCGGGGCTCTCACACAGCTGTACTGTGCCACAGAGCTAGCCCATCCTGGACTATTAAAAGGAGTCACTTGGTCGCTTTGGAATTGAGAAAGCTCCTGCAGGCAGCCATGTGGAATTCTGTCAGGTGGCAGCCACAGGCTTTGCATAGAGGTGATCCTAGGCATATCCTCTGATGAGTAGTTTATGGGAGAAAATGACTGGAGAGCCCTCCAGGGCATGTGCAGCCACTGACCCACTGAGTGCTTACTCTAATCTGAGGCCATTAGCAGCAAACAGCCTGAGCAGCCTAGAGTCTGGGAGCCACTGGGAAGAGTGGGGTGTTGAGCAGGGGGTCCTTAGGCTATATGGGAGGGAGACTTCAACTGAGTGTCATAGAGGCTGCAGTGCATCCCATCTCCCCTTTCTGTCTCCCAGGGCCTCTGCAGATGTCCATCCTAGGGTGAGAATGGTCAAGCAAATGTGAAATATGGCAGCCACTGTGTGGGTGCGGGGTAGTAGAGCTGAGAGAGTGGAGACAGTGGGGTCCCAGGTCTGTGCTTTCCTTCTTTAATCACTGCTCTGGGTATTTAGTTTCTTAATGATTCTATTTTTGTATCTATAAAATGAGGGAAACCCTGGGCTGGGAAAGTGTCTGGCTACTCATGGATCGTGCTAGCACAGTGCTTTATGTAGACTGAATCTTGTCTACCTGAGGTCACTGGTGAGGCCACCATATACATGATGTAACATCTGCAGTTGAGAGCCTCCTGAGATGTCCTAGGAACATTTTTGTGAGTCATATCAGTTCCCAGGTTGTGATAAGCATTGCAGCCAAGTTTGTCTAAAGTTTAACTTTTGTTCTTTTAAAGAATAAGAACATATATATGAACTTGAATACACTCTACAGACTTACGATGGACCTGTGCTCCAAGTTGAAGGCAAGACATTTTATTATGTGTTCTGGTTGTACAAGAGCTGTCTGTCCACTTGCACCCATACTTGCAAGGTGCTATCACTGTGTCTTGAACATGAAGGAAGTGAGACATTTGTTCTAAGACCAAATTAATCTGTGCCTCACTCAGAAAAGAAAAGATCAGAATAATAAAATCTGAAGTTTTAAAATAATTTAGCGTGTTTCAAAGCCTCCCCTTTAACTGGGCTGTTTCTGATGCTGTGGTTAACATGAAAGCTAAATGCTTTGGTTGGTGGTGAAATGGGCACAGCTTTCCTCAGTCAGTCTTATTGGGAAGCTATGGCCATGGAAGGGACAATTGAGAAGAGCTGAAGGAAGAGACAGTGTCCTGAGGCAAGGGCATGGTGAAGGGGGCAGCAAGATGGAGAAACCTCTAGGGACAGGCAGTGGCCAGGACTTTTCTTCTACTGGGATCCAGGTTGAACTGTTTCTTTTCCCTTCTGTCCTGCCCTTCTGCTGGGCTCTAACAGGGGAAACTCACCTGAGCACAGAGAGGGAGCCTGGTGATGTGACCTGGCAAGACTGGGCCTACCTTGTGACCCAGGGCAAGGCAGAGAATGGGTCTGGAGGGATAGGCAGAGAAATGGGCAGGGGAGGAGGAGAGCTAGAAAATAAGACCCAGGACTTCTTGATGGTAGCAAGAAAGAATAGAAACAGACTCCAAGGAAGAGCCCAGGAGGTGATGTCAGTGGGGAGGATGTCATACTCTGAGTACATGGAATGAGGGCTCCAGTGCCATTTGACACACTCCCCGACTAGGGGCAGTGAAGTCTAGGTGAACTGATGGAAATTCAGGAAGCCTGTCCTGAAACTAAAATTAAAATTAAAGGCTAACTGTTTATAGATACTTAAATCAATCTTTAAAATGAGAAAATAAAGAAAACTGGAATGGGGCATAGCCTATTTGCCATTTGTGACTGTCTCTACCAGGTCTTGATGATAAAGTAGAATATATAATGGAAGTAGGAGTTTATTAGGAAAAATAGGGGAAAGGAATAGATGTTGGGGAAGAAACCCACCTAGATAGGAGTTGTCTTCATTCTAGTTCAAAAAAGTCAAGTAGCTTTTCAACAAAATGCTGATGTGAATGTAACTTAAAGTAGCCTTATTATTACTTCATAGGTTCATGGTTTATGGCAACTATTTTGTACTCTGGAAATTCCTCTGATTCCAATTTTGGCAGGTAAGTTGCCACGAAGACAAAGTATAGTCATTTTTGTAGAGAATTCTACATTGTTTGGAAATGAGTGTTCTCTCTTTAGCTTATTTAGGAATAAATACTATATCTCATGGGCCCTGAAGAGGGGTTGTGCTGCACCACCTCTTAGACTATAAGGACTCGATGATTTTGACATTCAGTTCTTTCTGGCCAGAAGGAGGAGGTCTCATGAGATATCTTAACTGCTATCCTTGTCTCTCATGTTTGCTTAGTGTCCTGTGCCCTTCCTGGCTTGGCCTGTGCAGGGCTTTCTTCTGTCTTAGACTGCCAGGTCCTTCTTGGCCCACAGGAGAGCAGAGTCTCCTTGGCCAAGTCAACTCTCCAACCAGAGTGTGTGAAGGGCCAGGCTGGGGCTGGCCAGTGCAGGGCCCATGCTCATGCCCACCTTGAAGCCAGCACTGTGGATGTTCCTGACGGACCCTCTGCAGAGGTTGGCCAGCAGCAGGTGCTGTCATTGTGGTCTTCATGAGGAGTAAGACTGTCACCTTTACTGAAAGGGATTTGTTATTGCAATGTGGACATGATCTGACTTGGAGTTTGAATTACAGTGATGGAAAACCACAAGATTCAGGTGAACAAGGAAGAAATGGAGAGGACATCCACACTTCTTGGGGTAAGTTATTATTTCAGACTCTGCCCTTGTCATTTTTCTCCAGTTTGGTAAGTGATTCCCAGTGGCAGGTTTTAGTAATTTCCACTCTTTTTTCTTTCCTTGCTAGTGCTAGATTGATGGTAATGCTGTTCTTTCTCTTCTCAAACTCCTAGAGGGAAGGATCAAGCATTGAAGGATTAAACCCCATCGCATCTTTGTGTGTGTGTGTGTGTGTGTGTGTGTGTAGGTTGGGTGGGGCAGCACTGTATTTAATGCATATTTGGGGAATTGCTTTAACTGATCCTCAGGATCCTCCAAAGTTAAGTTTTTCTTGTAAGATTGTTGCCCCCTAGCGTTTGGTGAAGGAATTTTTGTTTGTTTGTTTTTTAATAAAAATATAGAAAGATACTTAAGTTGCATGAAAAAATACATAAAGATGTTTCACCTAAATTTCCTTAAAGGAAACTCTGGTATAACCATCACCTGGGTCAAGTCTGAGATGCCCAGAACTCTGTGCACTTCCCTGCCAGAAATCCTTGCTGCTAGCCTTTGTAGTCATTTCACATTGTTTTTCTTTATTGTTTTCCCACTTTAATGCCTAAGAAATATAGTGTGACTAGTTTGGACTGTAAGTAAATTAGTAGTTTATATTCAGCCTTCTGTTTCTTGACCTCACCTCGTCACTCTGTGTTGCCCAGTGCTGTGGACTCCTGAGACTGGTGTCTGCCAAACTCTGAGATCCATACATTTCTTATTTAGGAGTTAAAAGGGAGGTTTATTCTGAATTTATGAGCATTATTTTATATTGATTGTTTGAAAAGTGTGTCAGTTGTTCGTATTCCCCCACAAATGATAACACATAAGTTTGGTTTTGTTTTCCTAATTGCTAATAAGGTTTAGCACTTTTCTATCATCATTGGCTATTATAATTTTCTTTTTTTACAAAGGATCTGCTCAAGTCTTTCACTCATTTGTATTTCTTTTCTTATTGATTCATAGGGCATCTTGAAATATTCTGGATACGAGCCTGTTACTTATATATTCTGTCTTGTTTCATAGGATGCTGGATCCCTTTCTAGCCCTAATATTACTATAAAATACTTTCTTTCCCTCTCTTATTTTGTTATATTATTATTTTTGAATCTTTCATTTGTTCCCCTCAGTTTAGGAGAGGGTGATTGCATAAGCCTAGAATTCCACCAAGAGTTGGAAGATGCATTTTTAATCTGCAGTTTAGTAAATTACAGAGTGCTTTTTATTCTATTAAGAGCTTCTGTTGGGAATTATTTGATTAACAAACTAAATAATTTTAAATTGTGAAAACTGTGAATATTATTAATTGTGCTTATCACATTTTCAGGCTCGTCTCAAGGAACTGGAGCAGCAAGCCCATTTTATTGCAGGAGAACGGTTTCTTATAATGAGTAATAATCAACTTCGAGAAGTAATGCTAAATTTTGATTCTTTCAAAAATAGTTTCTTTTTTTGAGGTGGGCAGGGGGAAGTACCAGGGATTGAACTCAGGCACTCAACCACTGAGCCACATCCCCAGCCCTATTTTGTATTTTACTTAGAGACAGGTTCTCACTGAGTTCCTTAGCACCTCACTTTTGCTGAGGCTGGCTTTGAACTCAAGATTCTCCTGCCTCAGCCTCTGAGCTGCTGGGATTACAGATGTGTCAAAAATGTTTCTTATTCAGGAGTTAAGAGAGGTTTCTTCTGAATTTATAAATGTTATTTCATATTGATTATCTGAAAAATAAGTTGTTTATATTCTTTCATGAGTGATGAATATTGAGATTCCTAACTTCAAAACCTTTATATCCAAGAAGAGCACTAAATGAGAAATTAAGCATCATTTAGATGTGACTCCTTTGGTTAGTGGTTTTAAATGTAATAGTGATGTTTGTTTCTTCCAATCTGAAACTCTCCCACACACCTGCATTGCATTGTTGAAGATCCTCTTTGGAAAGTTGAAGCTACACCTGCTGAGTCCAAGGAAGAGCCTTCCCAAAACAGGGCCACAGCAACACCTGTCCACTTCAGAGGCTGTGGTAAGTTTCCCTTGTCCTTCTTTCTACCGTGATCATGGGTTTGTACACTAGGTGGGACCCTGCCTCTCAAGTGAGGTGAATTGCAGGTGAATAGCAGTCTCCTGCAAAGGTACTTGGACTGTCCTTCACACAGGAGATTCTTCACCTCCTGAAGGGCCCATCTTCCTCTCTGGTGTATCATCATCATTAGCCATACCTCCCAAGCACTTGGGACTTCCTTTCATCTTTACCCACAGCAAGTCCCAGTCCTTTCCTACAAAAGATGTCCTGAGGGTGCCTCCCTGATCCTGTTCTCACTTCACCATCTTTATCCTCTCTCACTTGGATGACTTCAATCCTCCTAGCAGTCTCCCTGCTTTAACTCCTACTTCTGTTAAAAACATTAGAAAGATCATGCTACTGGGACTGGGGTTGTAGCTCAGTGGTAGAGCACTTGCCTCACATATGTGAGGCCCTGGGTTCGATCATCAGTACCACATAAAAATAAAGATATATTTAAAAAAAAAAAGATCATGCTACTGACCTGGCTAGAAATTCCAGTGCCTTTCCATCACCCTCAGAATTAAACCCAAGTTCTTGAATATGTCCCTGGCCCAGGGGACTGGCCCTTCCCCTGTCTCTGATGTGCTTTTCTGAGCATGCTGGCTGCCTGGGGCTCTCTGCATAAGCTCTTTCCATAGTCTCCAGACCGTGCCACAGATTTAGCCTGCTGGCTTATGATAGTCTGCTTTAATATTACTTTTAGAAAATCTGCTCTGGTCACCCAAACTGCAGTAAAGTCCTCAGTCCTCCCTATTTCTTTATTTTTATTTTATTTACTTTCTGTATACAACTTACCATTACCTAAAGTTATCTTAGGCATTTATTTGCTTATTAGCATGTAGCATGTACACATCTAAGCCCTCACTTTGTTCCCAGAACCAAATCATCCAAAAACTAGTGCCTGCTGGGGCTGAACTAAATGCCTGTTGGTTCTCAGAGCACTGGGTTTCTGGGAGCTGAACCCCATCTTTCTGGAAATATTGACTTAGATCTCACCTGGAGAGCAGAGGTGGGCAGTGAGCCCTAAAGATTTGGCAGCAGTGTCACCTGGGAAAGCCATGCATTATCCTCTGGCCTGCATCTGTATATGGGGATCCCAGATGGTTCATTTTATGCCCTGGCACCAGCTGATACTGTTGCCCTTCCCTTATAGCACCTTCCACTCTCCATATAGGCAGTGGTATAAGAATAAAGCATGACTACCTCCTAGTTTTGATGTGTCTTCCTATGGACAGAGTTGAGACAGTGACTTTAACAAGGAGACTAATATTTTTTCCCCACAAAGACATGATCGACATGAATCACATTGACCTTACTCTCTTCTTTACAAGTCATACTGTTTGTTCATTCTGTATATCTGGAAGGTGACTTTTACTAGATAATACTTGCCCATGGCTCTAAATTCACAAATAAGACCCCTTCCTGCCACTTCCCTTTATTCTCCCTGCTCTCTTTCTGGTGCCATGGTGAATCCTGGGGCTTTATCCCACCCCAAGCTCCTGCCTCTGTTTCCTGTCCTTTTTGTTCATAGCATTCCTGGGCTGATGATGGTGTCCAGGCTTCACACATGAACTGTTACTGCTCAGCTCCCCTGACTTGGGATTTAGTTATAGGAGGACATGGACCTAGCTTTGTTCCTGCAACTCCCCAGTGATTGGAACAATGCCTGGGGCTCAATACTCAGTAAATCTTGAGTGACTCTCTCAAATTTTCACATGTATTACTTTCTTTACATATTATTTAATTTCACACATTTTAAAAATAATTTTAATTATTCTTCTTCTTTGATCACTGATTCTTTGAAAATGTGTCTTAAAATTTCCAAATGTGAGGGGGCTTTCCAGATATTCTGTTGATTTCTAAGGTAAAGGTGCTGTGGCCAGAGCCTGTAATCTCACAATACCAGTTCTCCAACACTCACCAGCAGAGCTCCCCAACATAGGGTGGAAAGCAGAGGCTGTTCTGGAGACCTATGGTGTCCAGCGGAGAGCTCCACAATTCTGTGGAACAGTGAGAATTCCCACCCCTCAGTAGACACACAGGAGTGGAAGGACAAGGGTTTCTTCTTAACCACAAGCTGAAGGAAGCTTTGGTGCTCTTTCTCCAATAAAGTCACATGTTCTCAAAGCATTATAGGGGATTCAGATGCTGGAAAAATGTCTGGTCTGATGGTCAAACTTCTGTATTGCAGGGAGCTTGGGCCAGCCATTCATCATTTCTGAGAGTAGCCTCTTAGACCCCCAACTAACTGAAATGACAGGGGTCTCCTGGTCAGGCATGTATACGCTCTGCTGGGTGTCTAGTATGCAGCATATGTTCTGCTAGGCTTTGGGATAAAGCCATGAATAGAACAGATGTATTCTCTCTTTTATCAATAAACATTTATTGTAGCCCTGGCTCTGCATTAGACATTGTTTATAGTCTGTGGGGCAAGGGTGTGTGTTGTCGTAAAATATCTACCAGTGAGAAACTAACTCTACCAATCAGGGTTTTCCAGAAAGACAGAACCAATTGGATATATAGAGACATAGATACATGAGAGGGAATTTCTTCAGGGAATTGGCTCATGTGATTTTGGAGATTGAGAGGTCTCACAACTGGCTATTTGCAAGCTGGAGACCCATGGATGTTGGTCAGAAGGCTCAGTCCAAGTGTGAAGGTCTTGGCCCAGGGAAGCTGATGGTGAGATTCTTAGTCCAAGACCAGAGGTCTGAGAGCCCAGGGGGCTACTTATGTAAGTCTGGAGTCCGAAGGCTGGAGAAACTCGAATTCTGATATTTAAGGGTAGGAGAAAGATGCCCCAGCTCCAGGAGAGAGAAAAAATTCACTTTTCTTTTGCTCTTTTGTTGTGTTTGAGCCCTGGATGATTGGATGGTGCTGCCCAACCAGTGAGGATGGATCTTCCCCACTCAGTCTAAGACTCAGGTGAATCTGCCCTGGAAACACCCTCACAGACACACCTAGAAAGAATGCTTCACCAGCTCTCCAGGTCTTCTTTAATCTAGTTACCCAGGATTAACCATCACAGGAGCATGTGTGTCCAGTGGCATGAGACCCATTCACATGAAAGCAGGATCCTGAGGAAAAAATGCCAGGAAGAGTGGCACACTTTAGGTCAAGTTGTCCAGAAAGAACTCTGCAGAAATGATTTTTAAGGGAAAGCTTGAGGATAAAAAAACTTCCCGTTGCAAGAATAAGGAGCAGGGCCAGGCAACAGGGAGACTCTGGCTACTCAGACTTCTGTCGCTGCAGCCTGGTGACCAACTGAGAGGTATATGAGGACCCCTTTATGCTGTAGGCCAAGATGAGGAATTCAGACTTTTAGTAAATTGAGTAACTTTGGAATAGATCTTAAATATGTATTTTTAAACAGACAAATTTATGCTAAGAATGGTAAAAAATGAGGCACAAATAAACAATGTTACAAATTAAAATGTAATTATAAATTTGGAGGGCTAAGGCATTGAACAGACACTTCACAGAAGAAGAAATACAATCAATCAACAAATATATGTAAAAATCTTCGTTGGCAAGAACACTTTGAATTTTTAGCTGCTTGAAACTTGACTCATTAATTAGTTCTCAGTGCGCTCTCTATGTTTTGTTCCCGGTTGAAGTAGCGCTAAGCAGAGGCAAGGAAAATACACTTTCATTTGAAAGCATTTGCAGAGCTTCCACAGAACTCTTGAGTTTACTGGAATATCAGGAAATACTTTTTCACCTAATCATGTTGATACTTGGCAGGAAAGATGAGTATACCTTCAGCAACTAGAGCAAATCAAAACTACTCTAAGATTTCATCTCACTCCAGTTAAAATGGCAATTATCGGGGCTAGGGTTGTGGCTCAGTGGTAGAGTGCTTACCTAGCATGTATGAGGCACTGGGTTCCATTCTGAGCACCTTATATAAAAAAATGGATAAAATAAAGATCCATCAACATCTTAAATTTTTTTTCAAAGGATGGCAGTCATCAAGAATACAACATATACAAGAATATGTTGGTGAGGATATGAGGGAAAAGGTACACTCATACATTGCTGGTGAGAATGCAAATTGATATAACCATTATAGAAAGCAGTATGAAGATTCCTCAGAAAACTTGGAATGGAACCACCATTTGACCTAGTTATCCCACTCCTTGGCTTATACCCAAAGGACTTAAAATCAGCATATTATAATGATGCAGCTGCATCAATTTTTATAGCAGCTCAACTCAATAGCTAAACTATAGGACCAGCCTAGGTGTCCTTCAACAGATGAGTTAAAATATATACTGTGAGTATGAGCAACAGTTGCAATGTGTAGTTACAGGTTTTCTGAGTTGTGCACATGGTCAAATAGATGGGCTACTACTCAGAGAAAATAGAGAGGAATGGTTTATTTGGGGATGTCAAACATTCAGTCTTGGGTCCATTAGAACAAAAGAACATGTGTATCTATGGGATGGAACTGAGGACATATACAAAAACATATACAAAACATATACAAAAGCTACCAGCCAACTTCTTGCATTCACCCTGGGCAGTGGTCCTCCACCCTGACTGGAAATTTGGAAAACATTGATGCCAGGTACACAGCTGATCCACTAAGTTAGGATCAGCTGGGTGGTCTAGGCATGGGCCAGCTCTCCACTAATTTTGATGTGCAGTCAACATTTACAACCATGGAGTTCAACCCTGAAAAACTGATACTTAGAGGTCAGAGAAAAGAGGTGCCAGAGAGACTAGAGTGGCAGAGTGAAAGGGAGATCAGAAAGGAATGCAGTGTCAGGAGCCAGCACAGCTTTTGATAAGGCAGCAGGGCTGCAGACAGTCTACAGCCTCTGTTTCTGGTCCTTAACATCTGCAGTACTTTTGCACAGTTTCATGTGATCAAACACTTTTTTTTTGAGGAGTTAATACTTTTTGCTTTTATTTTATTTATTTGTTGGTTCTTTTTAGTTGTACATGACATTTTGATTAATTTTATTAGCATGGAATTTATCTTATTCTAGTTAGGATCCCATTTTTGTGGAAATATATATATATATATACACACACACACACACACACACACATACATACATATACACACACACACAGTGGATTATTACTTACCGTAAAAAAGAATGACTTTGTTGACATTTGCTAGTAAATGGATGAATCTAGAGACTATCATACTAAGTAAATAACAAATTTCTACTATCAAGAAAAGAAAGACACACAAACCAATTTTTTAATAGAGTAAAAGACTAGAAGGAGCTTAATGAAAAAAAGAGGTACAATTGGTCAATAAATACATAAATTGTGGCCAACTTTATGATTCACTGGGGGAAATACAAGTTAAAACTACAGAGATAACAATTCTCAGCTACCAAAACAGCTACAATCAAGACCAATGACTGCATGCCTTGGTAAGGGTGGGGAGGCGCTGGAACTTGCGCACATTGCTGAGGGGATAAGGTGGCATCTATCCTGGAGAGTCAGCAACATGTTTGCTGAAGTGGGCCAGAATTTTTCATCACAGCTCCTCTGTATTTGTAGGCCCAGCAGAACTTTGGCATTTGTTAGCCAAAATTCATGTTGTGGAATGTCTCGTGTCTTTTAAAAAAAATTTTTATTAGTTATTTGTTTATATGTGGTGCTGAGAATCAAACCCAGTGCCTCACACATGCTAGGCAAGCGCTCTTCCACTGAGCCATGGCCCCAGCCCCTGTCCTGTGTCTTGATATGGGCAGTGTTTATGCAATTGTGTTTACTTTGTGATACTTCAACAAACTGTTCTTATGATCTTGTACTTTCCTATATGTATGCTATATTTGACTAAATTTTAAAATTGACTAAAAAGTTTATAATCATATTCCAGTGCTACCTCACTGGAATTATACCCAGATGACTAGCATATAAGTCAAATATTGGGTTCGGTGAAAACCACTGATACACATCTTTGTAGGTATTTTCTCAGTTTACTCACCTCTATGGGATTTAGATTTCACTAATACAAATCTTCAGAGAACCTGTTTCCAAGCATATGTGAAGTGCTTTTAGCTCCGATGTGTAAACATTGGAATGATTTCATAAGAGGTTAGGATTAAGATACTTGATAGACTGAGTTTATTACAAATCTTCTTTTTGGAAAATATGCTCAATTTCACCATTTATTGCTAGGACTTTCTCTGGCTAAAAATAAGTGCTTGAAATATTGAAATGAAGGAAGGAATTACATTGGTGATTTATGTTTCTTTCTTTCTTTTTTTTTTTTTTTTTTTGGTAGTTAAGTTCTCTGCAAGACCTTCATCCTTTACCCAAGACAATTTTGGAATACAGGCACGTAAGTTGACTCTTTAAAAGTTTTGTGTGATGGGGGAAGAACCAGGCCCTCTCTCCATGAACAAATTCACGTTTGCTGAAGTGTGTTGGCAGTGTTACAAGAGGCTGTGGTTCTCTCACACTGGCCTTGTGTTAGCACCCCTTCCTGCACCTTCTTACTCCAGTCTCAAGTGAGCCCCATCCAGTCCTGAGAGCTCATGGGCTCATATGTGGAAGAACATTGGGAACAAGTCCTTACTTGTGACCTCTGTGTGGATGCAACTTCCACCAGTACTCACAAAAGTCCCCCACCTTCAGGCAGCCTTTTATCTTTACATAGTAGTGTTTGCCAAGGTTAAGGACAAACCCCCTTTCCTCCTCTAGGTACTCTCTTTCTGTTCACACAGTTGCCCGTTATGTCACAAGTTCTCTGTGAGCCGCTTTGATAACTATCATTATCTAGACAACCAGTCCTGTTATTTACTGAGCCTGTGACCTGCTGTCTGTAGAATGCACTGGTACCAAACAGGCCCTTTCTTCTGAAGTGAGGTCAAGGATGGGAGAGAACTAGAAAGGGCTCATCACAGGGGACCCTAAGCTGATTATTTATTTATTTGCAATATCTTTGCAATTTTCCAAAAAGAAGATTTGTAATAAACTCAATCTAGAATTTCACAGAATAATAGATTTATTTTCAAATGGAAGGGTGGCTTATTTCTCAGTTGGTCAGTGTTATTCAATCCTGGTACCACCCGAGGTCATCTGAGGACTGAAGCAGCACCTGCCTACACTGTGTGAAATGCTGTTGTGGCACTTGTTCCTATATAAATACTTACGTAAAGAAAATGATTACTCTCATCTTTGTTATTTAGATTCACAAGATCAAGTCAACCTTTATAGATGGATTATTAGCTTGCATGAAAAAGGTAACTGAGACTTAAAAAAATAAAGAAATTGTGAATAAGGAACATGGCTTGTGTGAGTTCAGATACATGCATTACTTGGAATTCTTTTTTTTTTATTGGTTGTTCAAAACATTACAAAGCTCTTTACTTGGAATTCTAATATGATGAACTGTCTGCTGTTCTTGGAACTCTATGCTGTGGTCTGTTATTATTCAGGTCTGCTTAGTCCAGGCTAACATCAAGCCCTAGGCAACTCTGTACTGGCCTTCTGTACTCACATCTATCACTGGATCTCTAATAGAACCATTTGAGGTAGATGTTGTCATTTTGGTTTGAACATGAGGAGATAGCAGTCAGAGATGTTCTCTGCCTTGTTTGAGGCCACACAGAAAGTGACAGAACCTGTCTATAGTACACAGCCCCGCCTTGAGTCCAGCTGAGTCCCCCACAGCCATTATCTTTCTTTTTCCCCCCTCACATAGGTTTATAAGGGACACAAAACCCTGTGTTCTATTTCTGCTTCTCCCTGGGTTAGAGGGAAGCTTCCTTTTCACCCACCCTTGATCCTGTGTAGGACTCTGTAACCCCAAGGACATTTTGGGATTGGGAGCTCAGGGCCAGCACTTATTGACCTCCGGAGGAACAGAGCAGCAAGTGCGGTGTTGTGGGTGAAGGGCCCAGCATGTTTTTTGCTTCTCATAGGATTTCCAGAGACTAAGCTGATTCTTTTGAATAATACAGGGATCCATTTCCTCCAAGTGGAATCAAACGGGAACTGTGACGGGAAGACTTTCAGCCACACATCCTGTAAGTTAGCGCTCTTCATGAAATGCCGGTTCCATGCCTGGCTTGAAGTTTTGCCTAGATATGTGCTTATGCAAGGAGAGGGCTTCATGTAGATACCTGTGTTTTCCCTGTGTATCCATTCCATTGGTGTTTGCACAGCACCTCTGTATGCTTAGAACAAGACTCAACATGTGCTGAGTTAGTGAGGGGTTCTTCCCACCAGCAGTCTGGGACCTCTAGTGCTGAGAACAAAAGGGACCCACCTCCCCCAGTCTTCCTTCCAGGCTTGTCTGGTGACTTCTGATTTCCCAGAGTGTCTCTAAGGACAACCTCCTTTTTTGTTTTTTGAGGAATATTTTTGGTTAGAAAAGCTGTAAGTTTCCTTGAGTTTATTATACAGCTTTTTAAAATTTGTTTTAATTAGTTACACATGACAGTACAATGATCTTGACATATCATACATTTGAATCAGATGGGATATAATTTCTCATTTTTCTGAGTGTACTGGTTGCAGAATTACATTGGTCATGTGGTCACGTATATACCCACAGCAATAATAAAGTCTATTCTGCTGTCCTTCCATTCCCCCCTTCCCCTTCCCTCCCCTCCCCTCCCCTCTCCTCTCTTCCCATCATTTCTCTCTACCCAATCTAATGTGACCTACTTCTTCTCTTTTCCCCCTCACATCTTCATACCTGTATTATATAGCTTTAATAACACTTCAAATAATTAACTTTTAAGTAGTTCTACATTTGTGATGGAAACAAGTCTTGATAGTAATTTCTTTTTTTAATATCTTTTTTTAAAGGAGAGAGAGAGAGAGAGAGAGAAAGAATATCTTTTTTGTAGATGGACACAACACAATGCCTTTATTTTTATGTGGTGCTGAGAATCGAACCCGGGTCCCGCTCGTGCTAGGCGAGCGCTCTACTGCTGAGCCACAATCCCAGCCCAGTAATTTCTTATTACATAAAAAGTTCCTTAAAATACAGAAAACAAATGTAAACTAATAACAGTTGCCTTTATGCAGAGCTAACTATGGTTAGCATCCTGTGTCTTTCCATACTTTTTGTTAGCACATGTATTTATAAAATACTACTTTTCTACAAAAATAAAACCATTATTTTATATTATGCTTTTTTGCTCTAATGCCTCTTGAGATGATATATCAATATTGATCTGAGTCTATATTTAGATTTAAATATATGAATTAAATATGTGAGTTATTTAAATATATACCATATTATACATACTTATATAATTATGAATATATGCTCATGGTAAAGAAATTCAAGTAATGTGGATGTTTATAGAATAGGAAAATATAAGTATTTGTCTATCTCATCAACCTCTGTTTAACAGCCAGGCTTCATCTGGGCACCTCTACATAGAGTGTAGCCCATGCATATGGGCAGGAGGGGCACTCTGTTGACCTGTTGGTAGTGGCTGTGTAAGGAGGAGAATGGGGCTGGCATTGAGGTGGATCCTCTTGGGCCAGGCCACCAGTTCCGGGGCCATAAGTTCTTGGGTCTCAGCTGTCACTTGGGACTAGTACCCTTCCAGGAAGGCATCACTTGGGCATCCCACTTTATGGAGCTCCTCTGGTCTAGACCTTGCTGACAGCAATAGTAAAACTAAGTGACATTAATTTTCATACTAACACCAACCCACACCTCTGAGAGAAGGTACTACCATCTCACTGCCCTTTGGTTTATTTCTCAATAACCACATGCACTGTGAGTTCTCTGAGTTGATGATGCTTCTCATGCGCGAGTTACTCAGGAATTCTGTTGGCAAAACTCACTTTTATGGAGGACCTTGTTTTTTCCTGTTGGGGGTTTTAAGTTCCTGTTTTCCATTACATGTCTAGATTAACCTCTTGCTGGACTTTACTCTCTTCTAGAAATTTCCCAACAGTGCTGGAAAACCTCCTCTCAGGTTTTCAATGCAATAAAATGCTTATTTTTCTGTTATTTTTGATGAACATTTCAAAAGAGGAGGTATAAATACCACACAAACATTCAGCCACTGATTTAACTGGAAGTCTGCATCCTTGTTTCAACAGGTGCATTGCCATCTGTGCATCGACTCTCTCTGCAAATGGGCTTTTAGATTGTTTTCAATTTTAACTATTTTATGGAGAGATGCCATAAACATACCTATGTGTGTTTTTCTGATGATTTCCATAGCACGAATTCCTAGAGAGAGAATTTCTGAGTCAAGATAGCTGTGTCTGTTTAAGGCTTTTCATTGCTAACTTGTTCTCCAGAAGAGTTGTGTTTCCATCACACAGTGTGATGTGCAAGGCACCATTCCCTGATTCCACCAACACAGCTTTCATTTTGGTTAATACTTTCAAACTCTTTTTAAAAATGTCTATTCTTTCAAAAATGTTGGTGAGATTGACTACATACAACAATTTTTCTTCCATGAATTGCCTGCTGGTAACATTGGCCATTTCTCTGTAGACGTTTATTTTTTTCTATTGGTATAATAAAGCTCTTTCTATAGTAAAGGTTAACCCCATCATAAAATGTTGAATTACTTTTCTCCATTTTTTTCTTTTTAATTTTAAAATATATATTCTGTCTTGCGATATTTAAAATGATGTTTCCCCCTCCCTGCTCCATGGTGCTATGGATTGAACCCAGGGTAATTCTGAGTTAGAATTTTGCCGCAGTCTGGCTGGGCACAATCAGGAGCCACTTGTCAAAAGAAACTAACTTTATTTTTAGAACCACACACGACAAACAAAACAGCCTCTCAGGAAAAACCCTCAGAGCCTCAACTGCCACCACCAGCTTTCCACAAGCCTCTCTCTCCCACACAAGCTTCTCTCCACCTCCCACAATCCTCCTGCTCTTGAGGCCGATTGGCTGGGTCACGTGGGAGGAGCCAAAAAAATCCCCCAATGAGCAGCTCCGTGGTCTGAAAGGGCAGGGAAACAGTCCAATGAGCATCACCGCAGAGGAGCCAATCAGCTAGATGTTGCTGGGGCCGCTGTGAGCCAATCATCAGCCAGCAGCTGGAAGTTTGCTGGCAGCTGGAAGTTTGCTGGGGCCCCTTTGGCTGTGGCTCTCAACAGAATTTTCTTTGCTCTTGCTTATCTCTGTCAGCACCTGCTTGTGGGAACACTACAGGCCATCTGACAGGCCCACTTTGTTCTTGTCAGTGTGTACCCTCCACAGGGCATGGTGTATGGCCACCCTCTGAGTAAGCGTCATGTGTTGTGTCCTGTTGTATTGGCTTTGTGTTTTCATGGGGCAGATTTTCAGGTATGGGGTCCCTGGGTCAAAGGATATTATTCCCTTTTTACTTTTCATAGATTTATCAGATTTCCTTCCAACTGCATATAGCCCTTGTCCCTGCCATGAGTCGTGGGTGGCAGTGCTTTCCCTACTGTTGCCAAGGGCTCTCCCTGTACTGCAGTCACTTGTTGGTTCTGCCTTTGTATCATCTCAAGCAGTCTTGTCTTGGTCCAAGGTTATTTGAATGTTTACCTCTATTTTCCTATAACTTCAGTGCTTTTGTATTTTTTAATACATAAAACTTGAATCCAGCTATTATTTAACCAGATATTATTGCCATAAGATGGCTGGAATTTGAATTGCATTTTTTTCCTTAAAGTGCACAAAATATAATTGATAATTTTGTCTGTGTGTATGTGGTGCTGGGGATCAAATGTAGGCGTCATGCCTGCTAGGCACTCTACCAATGAGTTATATTATCTCCAGCCCTGATTAATATTTTTAAAAATAAATTATAATTGTGTTTATTCTGCTTTTCCTCACTGTGACCAAAATATCTGATAAGAACAACCAAGCGGGACTGGGGTTGTGACTCAGCGGTAGAGCACTCACCTAGCACCTGTGAGGCACTGGCTTCGATCCTCAGCACCACATAAAAATAAATAAATAAATAATAAAGGTATTGTGTTCAACTACAACTTAAAAAAAAAGAAAGAACAACCTAGAGGGTTGGGATTGTGGCTCAGCAGTAGAGAGCTTGCCTACAAGGCACATGTGAGACACTTGGTTTGATCCTCAGCACCATGTAAAAATAAATAAATAAAATAAAGGTTCTGTGTCCACATACAACCAAAACATATTTTAAAAAAGGAAAACAACCTAGAGAGGAAAAATTTATTTGGTTCAGTTTCAGAGGTTCATTCCATGGTGGGCTGACTCCATTGCTATGGGCATGAGATGAGGCAGATCATGGTGGGAGGGTGATGGCAAAGGAAAAGTGCTCATCTCATGGTGGCTAGGAAGCAGAGAGAAGGGCATGGGAAGGGGCTGCAGGGAAGATGCAGCCTTCCAGGGCACATACCCAGTGATCCACCTTCTCCAGCCATGACCCACCTGCCTACAGTTACCACCCCTTTAGCCCATTCAAACTAGGATGGACTGATTAGTTACAGCTCTTGTGATCTAATCATCTCATCTGTGAACACTCCTGGGGGACACCCATCCAAATCATAACACATTGTTTTCCATATTTTTATAGTTTTCTATAAAACTATTTCCCCAATTTTATGATGCACACACAAACTCTCAAGGGAAAGTCACTGCTAACAGCTGACTCTGCTGCAGCTCATTGCCACCTACACTCATGTTATTGTGCTTGTGGTTGTTTCTGATATTAGGAAAAATGTGGAATATTTTTGTCTTATGGCTTACCTACATCTTTTCCTGTATTTTGACTTTGTAATGAAGCAGTAACAGGTTATGGTTTATTTAAGAACTGTGAAAAATAATTGAGTCAGTGGATTCAGCTCCAGTCTCCATAACTTATACGTAATAAACACATTGGATGGGCCAGGCTTGTGGCTCAGTGGTAGAGTGCTTGCCTAGCATGCATGAGGCACTGGGTTCCATCTCTGGCACCATATAAAAAAATAAAGGTAAATAAATAAACACATTGGAACATTTTTACAACAACTGTTTTAAAGTCTTTGTCAGAAAATAGCAAAATTTTATGACCTGAGTGGCATCTTTTGATCGTCTTTTCCCATGCAAGTT